ATTTCTTTGTTGGTATCGTAAAAGATTACATGTATCAGCGCGTACAGCTCCAGAGGATGCAGTCGTCCTCGATTGAGGTCGTATAACGGAAGCGAGACTTCTTTCACTCTCCTCTTCGCCAAGAAGTCTCTTAGTCTCGTCAGTTTCAAAAGCAAACCTTCAGGGTCAACATGCTGTTTCTCTGTCGCCCTCGTCACCAAGAAGCATGAACAGTTCCCTGGTATTTGCAATTTTTTCATTTTTTTATTAATAATTTTTCAGTGCGGGTGAGACCTACCGCCACTCCCCGGACAAAAAGTACCCATCGCCGTCCCCGTCGATCGCATACCGGATCTTATGTTAAGGTTCGACGCCAGAATGAACAATTTCACTTACTAGGCTACCCAGTAAGGATCATTTTTGTCATTCTTAATGTATTTCCTGCTATCGCGGTCAACGTACTGAATCGTGACACTGGTTTTCTTTGGGTCTGATGTCATTTCGTTCAACCATTCTGAGGCAAACAAGTTTGTTAAACCTTGTTCGTACGACTGTTGCTGTTCGACGTCAAATTCCACTTCAGTTTAGACCGATCATCGATCCACTTTTTGTCTTGATCATCGAAAATGTATATATCCTGTGACACGGTTCTCTCCTCCATACCTACTAAATCTTCTCCTTTCTTTTTCAGATCTATCCTGCCCACTAAGAAGTCCTCTCCGTAAGGATTATACTTCTTTGCGGGTCTTGCCCTGTCACTTTGTCTTGTCTGCATTGTAAAGGGTAGATCCAGTTTCTTTTTGGTCTTAACTGGGTTAAAAAGCTTAATCCGGGAATCCAGAAGGCTTCCGCGATTCAAACCAACCTTCCAGCTCCTTTATTTTTTGCATCCGCTAGGCGCGGAGTGCTTTGTTTATGGATCTGCCGATCATGATATCAAAAGAATAACACCCAGGAGCGCCATAAAGTTATATATGTAACATTCGCCCGGAAGACCATACCAAAGGAAAACAAAGTTAGAACCTAAAACGTCTGACTAGCGTATAAACACAGCTTCACATGACTTTAACCGTCATCAACAGACTCGGAAGCCTTCAAGAGACCCTTGCTGACCCATCGTAATGCAATCACTACGGGTTGGAAGAGAGTTCTTAGGGTGTCTAGAGATAATACCAAGTCGAGGGAGTCAATATTGAAGGAAGACTTGGCGAAGAACGTGAGCTTGAGCTTGCATAACTTCTTTTGCTTGAACAGGGAGTCCAAGGTGCAGGGTTTGCCAAACCAAGCGAAGAGATTGCAAGAGCATAGGGAATGGATGCGATCCTACGATCAACTAAAAGCTTGGGAAGAGATCGTTGTCAGCTCCGATGACGAGGAAGAGCTGTTGAGGAAGATTACAGTGTCGAATGCATCAGGGCCCAGCACCTCAAGGGCGAGGAGCACGAAATGAGCAATATGCTCAGAGTCGGATTCTTGAGCCTTGAGCGGGGAAAAGAAAGGGGCTTGTGAGTGAACTCAGATGAAATTTGAGGGCACGTAAAAGACATTTTAATAAAAAATTACTGTTACTAGTATATTATGACTACTATATAAATCAGAATGCTGCATGACAATTTTCTGAATGGGTGAAGCAAAAGAAATTTTAATCATTAGCTTACAAAGCGGAAATTCACGGTGCAGGTGTATGCAGATTCTGATTGCTGTTTAGCGATAATGTGACAATTTTGCATGGTTGTGAATTTTGGGGTGTAGATAAAGTTAAATCTGCTGCAAACTTCTGTAAATGACCACTGGCACTGTGAGACACACTCTACATTCTGGGGGCTCACTGACATACGACAACACGCGATGAGGACATCAATCTTGCGTCCGGGGAGCATGTGCCAGTCGGTCATATTTGGAAGTTTGACATTGAGCAACGCAAAAGACATGATTTTGGGGTGAAATGGAATTTTTCAAAAATTCGAGTTGAGCATGTCATGCTCTAGTTTCTCGCGACAACTGAAAAAATCAGATAAATAAGATCAGAAGATTCGAACTACAATCGCGGGAAAGTAGTCAAAAATAACAGCGGGAAAATGCTTTTAGCAATTTCCGATACATAATTCAAACGAGAGTAGAGCTGTCTTATTCGAAACAGAAGGCAGAGTGATCGCCAATAAAGAATAGATGTCTTAGAAGTGGACCAGAGTGAACCTTCGGTGGAAAAGTGGACAACCGAAGTTGCCCAATAGTCCAGATCCAAAACTTGTGTCTTGAGTTAGAACTGACTTATTCAAAACTTCTTGAGTTAAACTTGATTATCCCATTTATTCTAGGGTTACTTTTTGTTTTAGTTACTTAATTCTAGAGATCGTGCTGGTATGTGAGTACCCAATTTAAGTTTTTTGAATGTGTTTTATATTAAGATGTTGAGTTAGGGAGAGTTTTTAGGTTGATCCATCTGAAATGGATCAAAGGTCCACTGTTTATAAAAAGTAACTATACGTAAGGTTCCGACCCTGTTTTTAACGGCGTTCGCGTGTTTTAGGTATTTTGAGATCTAAGTATGGGGACGTTCTTATTTTCTAGAGTGGGGTTATTTTGGCAGTGGCCTTTAAGCTGTAATAAAGGTTTTAGTCTCATGTCGCAAGTGAACCGAATTGGCTCCGACCGCTTTGAGGTGGAAAAACGCAAAAGATAGTGTCCCTGACTCTTGAGCTAATGGTTATAGGGTCTACTTTTCTTTAATCTCATGTGTGACTTAAGTAGGCGACTGTTACAATTACTATTGTTTTTGTTCAGTAGATAAAAATCATCATATCCATCAGAGATGGATCAACCCTTTCCCTCGGCTCCTAGCTTCTAATAATCTGAAAAGTGATTTTGATGTTATTTAAATCAATTCAGTATCTACCAGGAAGAGCTAAAATTTGCTACAGTTCAGTGTCTAGTCTTTTCTCGAGACCCTTCTGAATATTTGAGTCCAGTCGAAAAGTTTTCTTGTTGTTCACCAGGAGGGATAGCAAAGTCCTCCCAAAATCCCTCCGAATTTTCGGGAAATACTCCGTAACGATTGTAGCTGCATATCGTTATAATTCGAAATGCTCTTCTGGAACTATCTTCGACTGTTAATTCTATCTGCTGTCCGATTTTCTTTGCGAAAGTCGTCGTTCTTATGCGGGAAACGGACTTTATCCTCCACGGTAATTATCCTCCAGGCGATATCCTCCACCATTATCCTCCATTTATCCGCCATGGAGGATATCGCCTGGAGGATAATTACCGTGGAGGATAAAGTCCTGTACCCATTTCTCAAACAGGGGTACAGGACTTTATCCTCCACGGTAATTATCCTCCAGGCGATATCCTCCATGGCGGATAAAATTTATCCGCCATGGAGGATATCGCCTGGAGGATAATTACCGTGGAGGATAAAGTCCTGTACCCTTCTTATGCCGACAAGCGAAAATCGTTGTTCTGATTTTCGCGCTTTTTCTGGACTCGCGAAAATCAAAATGGAAACGTGTCTTCACAAACAATATTTTGATTTTTGATGTTCTCCATGTCAGTCAAAACTTACCCCTCCCAAGTCGTTCATTTTGTCCAATAAGACCGCTAATCTTTGAACCAGCCAATTCTCCCACTAACCTGCTCCAAATAAAAATTCGTTTCTGCCATGCATTTTAGGCGCTATTCTGGTCGAATGTCATAAAATTACGATAAAATGATATCACCACATCAACGTTCCAGAAAAAAAATCAAAATAGTTCTACACTACTGAAATGAAAACTAAACCTATATGTACAAATACTCTTTTCTTCACATTTTCTTTCCTAAATTGATGATTTTAATGATGTAATAATTTTATCTCATTATATTCAATTATGAGTGAGTAATCGGTATTTGTAACGACACTATTCGACAATTTTAAGCGCAAATGCACAATTTTTCTCTGTAAAATGCCTGTTCTCAATGTAGATTCTGTACTAAATTTTCTTCGAAATTCAGTAAAAAGTTTACATTGACCGAGAGGAACTCCTCAGAGCAACCATTTTTGAAAGTATTATTATTATTTTCCAACAACTTTCTAATGTAAACCGGGTCTGAAAATGCAAGTTTTTCTCATCTGTACTAAGTTTTGCATCGTAGTGAATCCTTTTATGAAAGAGATTTCTAACATACAGAAAAGCAAAGAAAAAATTCAAGAATTGTTATTTATTATTATTTACAGAAGACCCCTCTGTGGCAACTCATGGTAAAGTTTCATGGAAAATCTTCAAGTTTATATGATAAAATTTATATATAAACCACCTTGAAGCTCTCAGGTAAAAAGTAATCATCGATAATTGTAATAGATTTTGTTTTGTTTATTGTAAATATGCGTATCTAATGATGTTGCAATATTTTATGAATTGATAGAAAACAATTGACATACACTTGTGTATTGAAATTAATTTCGATGTGCGAATAAAGTGTTCTTTTTTTAAAAAGAGGAGTAAACTCAGCGAGAGAATGGTAACAATCAGTGTGAAATTTAACTAAACTCAGACGTTTGTTACTCATTCACGCGATGTAAAAAAACTTATTGCAGATGAGGAAAACTGGCATCTTCATACCCGGATTACATCAACAAGTCATTGAAACCAAATATTGATACTTTCACAAATTGAGAATGAAGGGATTGAGAAATTGTGAGATGAAGGGATCAATTGGAGGAAACGGTTGCGAGAATTGTTACTACAGAAGCAACGACTCATTTATTTTGTCAGTTTCTGAAAAATTTTCAGTCTTAATTATTTTAGTAGAGAAACAACTAAGGTTTTGGGCAAAGTCTCTTTTTTTTGAAATTACGCATTCTATCCTTCATCACTTTAACAAATTCCTGCAATATCAAGCAGATTCCTCCAGCTTTAGCTGGGCCAATATTTTTTCAATCGAGACGTAGGATCATTTTGGTTCATCCAGTTTTCAACTTTTTTAAAGTTTTTTTTCCGATTTTTATTTTGTCTGTTGTATTGCAAGTGGTACAAAGCTTTGCTTCGTCACTGTACATTTTTCTTTATTTTCTCGAATCGTTGTAGTCGCAATATCCAGTGCTACATACACAGCAGCCTCTGATCCTTGTTTCAATTTATAGTTGTTTTAAAATCACAATTTTTTTCAGTTTTACGTTACAATGAATGTCTCGGAGTACAGGGATCGTAAATTGGAGTTTGTATCGAATTTGGAAGGGACTTCTATCTGGGTTATTCTGGTATTAACACACCTGTTTTCAACCTTGCCGTTTATTCGCGGTTTTTTACGTCATCAGATGTCAATTCAAAATATATTTCTTTTATTTCACTTTGACTTCCTTTTCCTAATAGTGCCAACTTTGACGTTTGTTACCTTCGCGTTTCGTAAATTGTTTTCTTTAGCTGTTTTCGTTCACGCGATATTTATAATTTTATGTTTTTGCTCACGATTCAAGAAATGCCAAACCGAGAAAGTCCTGAGGCCTATAATTGTAGATGCCGACAGTAGGGAGGTTCGCTTCGTCTGTAAGTCTATTCTCAATATTGTTACCGCAATTTGTATCTTAGGAGTTGATTTCCATGTCTTTCCTAGAGAACTTGCAAAAGTAGAATGGCATGGGACAGGTCTTATGGGAGTCGGAGTGGGAAGTTTTGTCTTTTTCAATGCCTTCACTACTAATCGCCAAGATAACTTTAATATGTTTATGACAACACTTTTTTTGATGGTTATTGGGATAGTGCGATCCCTATCTGTGTTTTTGACAGGATACCATAACCATGCATCAGAGTACGGAGTCCACTGGAATTTCTTTTTAACTCTTTCAATTGTGCAAATAATTTTGTTTTTCGGAGAAAAGTCGATTGGTCTGAAAAAAATTATAACCCTGGTAGCTTCAGTTTGTCTCGTTTTACAATACGCGTTAGTTAAATGGTTGGGCTTCTTCATACAATTTATGAATGATCGATCAAACGTGGTTTTGGCCAACATAGAAGGAATTGTCTCGCTTCCTGGTTTTCTGCTCATTGCTGCGATGGGAAAAGTGTTTGGCAAACTTTATTTAGAAAATTTTCCAAACTTGAAAATCGAAAGTCAAGTAGTCTTTACTGGTGCGATAATCGCAATGTTCTTGTGTGTGCAGTTTTGTGTGGAATTTTTCGTTGAAGCAGTTTGCAGACCAACAGCTAATCTTAGTTACGAATTATGGATGGCAGTTTATAATTTGGATATGATATGGTCCGTGATTTGTAATTTATTTATCGTTTCCTTGGTAGCATCTTTGAGTAATTGTAATTTGGCGCTTATCTATGGTAAATGCGAAAAATGTTTCACGGGAGGTCGAGTTGAGTGTGGGTGTTTATATACAGCAGTCTACAAAAATCAGCTGCTCTTCTTTTTATTGGCCAATTTGTTAACTGGTGCTGTAAATCTGTCAGTTGACACTTTGGAAGTGGATAACTTTATTGCAATAGTTATATGCCTAGCCTATATGTATATACTCTGCGCGGTAGTTGTGCTAAAGGAAAACTGGATGACTCGTTATAAATTTGGAAGCACGAATGAGAAAAAAAGTTGAAAAATATTAGCCGTGAATTGTTTCGAAAAACCATTAGAATTCTTAATTTAAATGTAAACAAGACTGCTCGTATTAGGGCGAAGCCTTGAATGTTCCGATTACCTTTTAAGGTTTATGGAGCAGTAATAACATGAAAAAATGAAATAAAATAAAATGAATTTTTTTTTCTAAAATTTGAAATTTTCTAATGAAAATCATCACCCCACACGCCATTTAAAGTACAAAAATGTAAATTTCGTTCCTTGTAACAAATTAATTATGGCAAATAAGCTTCGTTCAACCAATTTGGAACGTTTTCCTAGACGGATTAAATTCACGCTGTTACGCGTTAATAGCGCGAATTATATCGCGCGTTAATAGTCCCAAATTGGTCAAAATGGCAATGTTTAAACCCTCATAACCTTACGTAAAATGGTCACAGCTAAAATATCTTTTCAAATTTAAGCTCAGGACAACAAAACCTTTTGAATGATATAAAAAAAATTCCGTCAAAAATGGCTGATTAAAAAGTCGAAATTTGTCTGAAGAAAAAAAAAACCCACCCGAGCACAAATATTCCGTTACTTTCGTATCGAAAGTCGGAACAACAAGGATAGGCGGTTACTGTGCAAGTAGCACAGAATGTTAACGACCATAGTTATAAAAAAGTTTTTGTTCCGACCATTTGAAAAATGTGGAGGAACTTTGTCTTCGGGTGTTTTAGTTTTTTGTTTTCCACGCAAAAACAGGTGCCACAAATACTCATTCGAATGGGTCGATTGATATATCGCTTTAAATCCCTATCAGTCGTGATTCGAATATTTAAAAATTTTCTCAGTGTTGAGAGAAAACCGGTTTGAAGTATTGGTTTTTGGCCTGATTTCGAGCTAAAAAGATGAGCGTTCAGGCTTAAAATAGCTCATTTGCGCTTAAATTAAGCCGTAAAAATTTAGTTTCAATCAAAAAAATTTACTGTTTGGGGTTTTTTAGTGCCATTTTGGGAATCAAGATTTTAAAAAATATCTGCAAAAAAAAGTAGAAAAATTTTGGACAATTTTTGAGTTTATATACGATTTTTTCCCTTTGCCAGTCTTATTTCTTCAAAAACTGTTTTTCAATTGGCCTAGTTAACTATGACTGTCGCATTCGCCTATTTTCTCTGTGTCTCATTTTTTCACCGCACAAAAAACAACACCAAGTTGAAAAAAAAATTAGTTAGAAGTCTATGGTCGCAACTTGCGCAGTAACCGGCTATCCTTTTTTCAAATGAGTGTCGTATATTGAGTCGTGTGATAAAAAGATCTGAACGACAAACTAGAGCTAAGGCATGTTCAACAATCATAGTAAAATAAGCAAATTGGAAAACAAATAATGGCTCAGAAAAATTATTAGTGGGAATTATATTCCATAAAGGCGCCAAAATACTAAAAAAACTAACTTTAGTCAAGTTTGTACGGCTTAAATAAGCGATTTTAAGCTAATAAAATTAGCTACTGTAAGCCTACTCGCTAGTTTTATTTTCTCGCTTTACTCGCTCGAAATTAGACGAAAAATCAAAAGTATCCAACCGGTTTTTCTCGATACTGGGCAATTTTTTGAAATCTTAGTGTCGTTTGAATCACTACTAAAAGAGCTTTGATATGATATATAATTTAACTCACTCCGATGATTATTTGTGGTTTCTGAATTTGCGTGAAAAACAAAAAAAGTGTTAAAATGAAGAAAAAAAACACACCGGAATACTAAGTGCCTCCCCATTTTTCAAATGGTCGGAACAAAAATAGAACGTTTTGATTTTGTTTTTGCTTTTTGAAAAAACATTAGAAACTTTGTACATATGTCAATAGTGAGCTTCAATTAGTATCAATTAAAATGTTTTGAACTGATGTGTAAATGTTCGCCTTTTTTGATTTATTATTTTGCCCGAGCAGCTCGTGTAATTCTTCTATTTTAAGATGTGAAATGGACGAGGAATCATTCAGGAAGGAGCTTTACCACTCCTTCGCAGCCAAGGGACTGCCTGATGTTCTCAAGGTAAAAAAATTGTTGCCAAATATTAAGTATACCAAAACTGTTTGACCCTAAACAATGAGATCTATAAAGCAACGGCTTATGTTTCAAAGTTCAAATTACTGTCAAAATTCAAAATCTTTCAGCTTCACATGCGGAATTCATTGGTGAAGAACCTGCAAAAGGGGACATACGAGCAGAGAAAACCGAAGAATGATCTCTCGGCTACTCTAAGTCAGAAAATAGCAGACAAACTTGTATACAGACACTTGCATAAGAGTCAATACAAATACACATTATCATTGTTTGCACCAGAAGCTGCTCTTTCGGCGGCAGATTTATCCTCTAGCTTAGAAGAGATTTTACAACTACTCAATGTGCATCCAGGTTCAATTGCCTTCAGAAAAATAGTTAGTAGAACTGTTTTTTTATAATTAGTATTTTCAATTTGAAAACTTTTTTTTTCGATTTACTTTCTGGACTCCTGAATTATTGAGATAGCCTGGTAAGTGCAAAAAGATTTAGTTCCTCAGTGAAAAGAGCAAATCAACCTGTCAAAGGAAAAAAAATTTGTCAACTGTAAATAGTTTTGTTCGCGTAAAAAGAAAGAAGACTCTTGCTAGTTCAAAAGAAGGTTGTTGGTTGAATGAAGTATCAAATTGATCTTCCGCTCAGAAAGAAGTGCTGGTCTCTGGTGGAGACGATGGAAGTGATCTGTGGGTAGTCATCAAGTGTCTCCTTATGTGCTTCGGGGCTGATCCGGACTCATCTGGGACACGCTCTGTGTCAATCCAAACTGGATCATCAGTGTTTGACAAGAGTAGCGCCCTCACATTCTGTGAGTTGCCAATTTTTAACCGAGAAGAACTTAAAAGGGATGCAGATGAAGATCTCAATTCAAGTAAAAAAGAAAAAAACGTTGCCAGATAACTTAAACTGTAAACCGCTGGCTTTTTCTCGGAAAATCTCGATTTATTGGTACTTGATATAACTGTGAAAGAAGTTTTCATTTTACTTGTTAAATTTGGTCAGTATAATGGTATGTTTCATGAAATTCTTATAATGGTGAATTTAGTTGAAAAACATCCTGACTGGAAAGGAGAGATGTTCATGTGTTTTTTATCAGCTGACAAGATGCGTGCCATCGACGAAGAGTTCGAGGAGCGTGAGAGGGCGAACGAGAGAAGTCTAGCAGAGAGACTGACGGAGATGGGCAGACAGATGGAGATGAGGTATGAAGAGAGATTGAACGAGGAGATGAGTAGAGTGAGGGAGAGAGAAGTGACTCAAGTGAGGCTGGAGTTGGAGGAGAGGATGAGACAGCAGACGGCCACTATCAAGTGAGTCTACTACACTTAGTGCTGCTGTTGTAGCTACGATGCAGACAGAAGTTAATCTTGGCTTAATTTAGAATTATCGATGATTTCTAATTTAAAAGAATACTTTTCAGCCAGGAGCAACATTTTATCCTGGTGGTATCAAAACGCCGAAATAATTTTATGAAAATACACAAATTTTAATACCCAAATAATGACCCATGGTCTCTGGCGCCACACTCTTATGACAAACCGTTTTAACTTCGTATCTTCTAACTTGTCCACTGTTTCACTGGCCAGTTATTCAAAATTCGTTTTAAAAAATTGATGCATGTTTCAGAGCACAGCTAGAGTGCAAATACGAGGAACGTCTTCTAGCTCTGCAGAAGAGAGAGGAAGCTAATCTAGAAAGTACTCGAGTGAAGACGCAGACGATAGAGAAGGAAGCATATCATAAGAGACAGTTTCTACTCGAACAAGTGGAGTCCATTCGCAAAAGGGAGATTGCACTCAATAGACAGGCTGATCTGCAGCAGAGGTGATGTTTTGTTTTACCGAGTTTTGCATTGCCTTGAATTGCTATGCAGTTTTTCACTCGCTGTGCATGTATGACTTATTCAAGGACATCTGAAAACGATCTGTAGATCCAATCTCTCAGGTTGTAACGATCTCTCAAGTTGTACTTCATTTACCTATTTTCTGCCACATATTTTTATGTGCATAACAAGTTTTGATGAAAAATTTGAACCAGGGTTTTGACGTTTAATGAAAAACATGTATAAATTGTAATCGTATAATCCGGTAAGCCAAACTCGCAATAAAAGACAACTTGCGACGGAAGACAGTCCGCAAAGTTTGAGGAAAGCGAAAATCCCCAATGTTCAATTACAAGACTGCTCGAATCAGGGCAAAGCCCTAAATGTTCTTACTGCCCTTTAACTGGTCTCGAATAGTTTTTGGCAAATGAAAAATTCCCTTACTATAATATAACTTTAAGTCTTAAAGTTTGAGTAGTTTCTGGAATTGATAAGGCCAATTTGCTGATTGTGTCCATTCAGTTTGGAACGAATTTGTTGTGCGGGTTTGCTCCCTACACATACATAATTCGCGATTTACTTTCAGCATCAAAATAGAAAACGAGTAGTTCAGGTAGACTCTTGGCAGGTTAACATAGTGGTGTGCGCAACCGGCGAAGTCCACGCTGATCAAGGGATCGATCCCTCGAGAGGAGAAATATTTTTGGAAATTGGTATGAATTATAAAAAAAAACAACTACGAGCATATATATTCCTCACTTCGAAAGTCGGAACAATGAAGTTGAACCGCGGCATTGACAAGAAGCGAAGACTTGATCCACTGCTTATATACGCCACGTGTATTCTAATACGCTTGGTTTCGTGTTTGTCGCTGAGATATTTTGTTGATTCTAAGGTTGTTAGGAGATTTGTTCAAATCATTTTATATTTACGCGTTGTCGCTTTTCCTTAAAGCTTACGAGCTGTGGGGTTCTGCTCGTTGTCTTTTACTTAGGTTGATGGTATTACGGTATAATCCGACTACCGTATAACCTTAAATAGTATGTTCTTAAATGCGTACCATCGTATAACTTGAGATCCAAATACTAGCTCAATTACAGCAATCGGCCAACCAAGTTTTTTAGACGAGCAAAGCTTGTGTTATAGCATGAATTCTCTTTTTTCCCAATCTATGTCGCAAATATTGTTGCCACGCAAATATTGTTGCGACAAAATGTGTTCATTTTGAAAGTGTTCATTTTGATCAATAACCAGCTATTAAGTACATACAATGCTAAGGATATTAACACAGACTATTATATTACAAATAACACTTTAGTTTCAAGATATCATGGATCTGTAGCGTAGAGGTAGGGAAGGAGACCCGCAACAAAATAAGAGGGTTCGAACCTGGACAGTGTCGGATATTTGTAATGAACTTTTTCGTATACTAGCTAAATTGCTTCCGCTCTATAAATTGAAGCATGTTATTTGGTAAGTTTTTTTTTTTCAAATTGACTGGTACTGCTAATGTGTCTTATTGGCTTTCGTCAGTTAGCAATTATGTAGTCTCATAATTGGCCTGCGTCACTTAAGAATTTTGTAGACTCAAAGTCTTACTCTCTCAGTTTTTCCTTGTAGCGTTATCGGTCATATTTTTGCTTGTGTATGCGAAGTTCAACTTCGCCTCTGTGTTAAGATAGTCAACATTCTAGTGTTCAATTGAAAATTCAAAGTCTCAAAAGATGGCCGTTAATCAGTTTCGTATATTATATCCGAATTTCGAAAAGATTGACGGATTTTTTTTACTCGGGTTGTTTTTTCCCCAGCCAAATTTTGAATCTTAACCTGCCATTTTTGCTCTACTATCATGAAAATATTGTTTGCTTAAGGCTGGAAATCAAAACGAAATTTCCCCTCTGACATTTGTTGCAAAGGTATAGGGGATTGAATTTGGCACTACTGCGACTGCTATAATTCAAAATGGGATAATTTACGCGCGACCGTCCTATTGAAGGGTAAGGGGGAAAGTTAAATCATTCGAAATTGATTGGATGGAAGTTATTTGTTCTAATTGATTTGTTTACAGGCGCTAAATATATCTCTTTTTACTTAAGCTTGCGTGTGGGGAAATACAATTAAGATATACAATGAAAAAAGAAAAGGTAAAGTTATTTTGTACATTCTTAAAGTTTTGCAACCAAAATAATTTCATCCTCGTTAAAGGGTGGTCGGGGCATTCAGCGCTTCGCCCTGACACGAACTGTCTCGTTACTAGTATTAATCCGCATTTAATTTCAGAAACATTTCTCTGATGGAAGCCAAAGTGGCAGAAGCTGAGAAGGCACTGGAGATGAGAGAGAGGGCAGTGCAACAACTGGAGACCCATTATGACACGAGACTGAGTCAAGGCGAGAAGAGGATCCGAGAAGAGGTATAGTGTACATGTAATTGATTGACAATTATAGAAAAAACTGTCACTGTAGATAATTCAATAAGACCTAGTTTTGAAAAAGAGCTACTGTAACCGCGATAGATTTAGTTAGTCTCATGCTGCTATTTTTTCTCGAAGTAACAGCTTTGTACAAGTGATCTTTTGGTTCGGTATCTTTTGTCATGGGAGCTTTTGGTACGGTATCTTTTGTCTTGACACCTTATAGTTTACAGGGGCTGAGTGGATTTGAAAAGTGAACCTTTTGTCGTACCTAACATATATGTTACCGCCGCGCTAAACCGGCGAAGTAGATTTCTCGAATTTGCTATACTTTTAAAGTAAGCTGAGCAAATGATTCAGTGATTTTGCGAGAAACGTTGTTAACCTAAAAATCTATGTTCGCGCCTGTTCATCGAAAGCGTAATAACCTACCTGTCAAAATAGAATGGTGTAAACCCCACAATGTTGACAAGCTATAAAGCTTACTGAATGAGCCACATTTTGGTTACTCATGTTGAAAGTTGTGTTGGAAAAGTGTTACTTGTTTTTTAAATGTTTCGATTAAAGTGCGTCTTAAACTATGGGTGTTATCAGATCAGAAGTGAGTATGTGTCGAGAGTGTCGGCAGTGGAGCACGAGGAAGAGAGATTGAAGAAACAGAAAGCGGAAATAGAGGCATCTGCTGAAAAGTTACGCAGACTCCACGAAATTGAGGTCAGACAAATTGAGTTTACTCCTTGGTGTTAGGAGTTCCTGTTGTCCTCGAAAAAAGGCGTTTTTTAATGTAGTGAATGTTAAGAATCCTTTTTGTTTTTCAAAATTGGGGAAATTTCCATGGTCCTTTTGCTGCATTTTGTGCTTGTTAAGGAAGTATTCATGACTTGCACCACAAGCGGTTTATATCAGATTATGTTGTAGTTGAAGATGGAGCATTTGAGAGTGGAGCTGGACAGTGCTCTGAGGCAGAATGAACTCAACCAGGCCAGACTGGACGAGGTCAGTTTTTGCTTATGCGTTGTTATTGTTGTATTGATACATAGAGAGATACTTTGAACCTCATAGAAATATTTTTTTTTGGTCATACATTATTTATAATATTAAGAATAGCCAGTTGCTGTGCAAGTAGTCAGAAGACTTGCCTATAGCTATCTTTGTGGAATTTACAAAAAATTGTTACTGTTATTGGAGATAGGAGTAATTCGGTTCTCCGATAATAGAGGGTTCTTCACTCAAAACTGGTCTATCAACCAAAATTTTGTGAACCGTTTTTTTTCTACTTTGAGATGACTTCCCAAAGTTTATAAACATCGACCGAATCACGACTGAAAAAGCTTCAATATGATATAGAATGGGAACAAGAAGCTCGAGAGATTTGTTCGGGCAACGTTTATTGGGAATAAATGAGAAAAGTTGGCGTCTCAAAGACTACTCTTACGTTTTTCGAGACAAGCTTGTTTTGGAACGAAAAAAGGATAATTTATTGTAAGCTTAAAAGCACTTAAAAGCAAAGTTTTTTTTTGTAGTTGTCACCTACCTTAAGTAGACCTAATTTTTTAGACGTCAGACTACCACAAATTGCGCCAGGAGAACATCTACCTCACCGAGGAGGTGGAGACTCTGAAGAGAAACTTGGACCAGGTGCTCACTGCCTCCACAAGACTCAACACCGGTGAGCATTGATAGGTTCACTTAAACAAAAGACTCTTTGTAGATCACAGGAAGGTTTGAAAGTCGAACTAGAATGAAAGAAAGAATTTATTTCTCCATAATCAGATATATGCACAACAGTAGCCTCCCGGTTTGGAACCTCCCTGTTTTGAACATTATTCAATGAAACTCAAACTAGTTGTTCATATTAAATACGAGTTGTTCATATTGAGTGGATAGACTAAGTGTACTAGACCAAAAGAGAGTTGGTGTGTGCTATTTAGATCGAAATCTGATGTCCAAGGCCCTCTCAGAACAAGGACCCTCTCTGCTGGGATCATACGCCTCTGCCAGAGTTAGTATTCATAAATGCAGGTGCAATTAGTTTCTGAGAATAATTCAAACATTCACTTTTAGTCGTAATAATATTGAAATGGCACTATTCAAAATGATAAAAATAACGGAATTTTGTCGTTTGGCATAGTCGTTGTATTATTATTTCAATACCTCTAATAATGAATTAAAGATCAAACCATTTTTAATAGAGACAAAATGTGGCAGCCAGCTCTTCGCGAATAGTACCACCACTCAACATAGACCACGAAACTCAAAGGCAGCCATTTTATCCTTCTGTCGGAGAAAATGTAGTGGACGCCCATACATCTGCCATAGTGCGACAGATGGCAACTGAATTGGCACAGCTGAAATTGCAGCTCAACACACAGCAGCAGCAAACGTAAGAAACCCCTGCCGACCCAAAGGGTCCCCCTTTGTACTTTTTTGAGTTATCCATTTTTTGGCTGACTGACCCTAAATTTTTTCTAAAGGCGCCTTTGGCACCAAATCATAATAATTTTGAGGGGGAAGCGCACGCCGAAAAAACGCGATTTTTGGTCAAGATTTTCCAAAAAGTGCCTAAAAACGCCTTTTTGGCCTGTTTTTCAAAAAATTGCATACGGCGCTGAAAATTGTGGTCAAAATAGGGTCTTTATAGTGATTTAGGAGAGCTCAGAAATCAATTTGGTCGACCTAAAAAAAGGTGATATTTTTTAAGGTGAAAATCCACCCCTCGAGAAAATCCTAGATCCGCCCCTGTAAGAAACAGTGCTTAGTATTTTGTTTTAAAATTGCTATTGCAAGTTTTAAGTTCACTATTTAACGTATCGCTCTTGCTAAAAATCTGATCATCTTCGTCGTAGCAACTGCGGATCTTGGATTTTCTCGAAAGTGCTGCTGATTTTTTCTCAAATTTTAGGTCAACCAAAACAATTTTCCGGGCTCTCTCAGCTCAATTAAGACCGTTTTGACAAAAAAATTTTGCGCTTCAGGCTAAAACGGACGTTTTAGGGCTCTTTTGGAAGGTTTCGGCCAAAAACAGAGCCTTTTTTTTGGCGCGAGCTCCCCTCTTACTTGTTGTATATGGTCATCAAAGGGAATCCCTGGCAAATTCCCTTGCTTCTTATTAAGAAGAAGGTTCTTGGATAAGCTCGGCTAGACGAGGCAAATTTGTTTTCAAAAAAAAAATGTCGAAAAACGAGTTCAGCCAACACTGGTTCCATGATTTGAAACGAAAACATGTTATCAGGTCGAACATACCGGCTAGTCAGGATCCTGCAGCTCCTATCACAGCAGTAAGAAATACCCACAATGACTCAACTATTCTACACGATGACCTCCCGGATGTCTCAACATCTTCCGGAGGAGACGAAGACTTTTTGACAGCACACCGGGTAGTGGCTGGCTACTCAACGATGTTCCGAAAGCAGAAGGACGCGATGTCTTTCGGAGGACTGCAGTTCCTAGCGGATAGCAGAAGCACTATGCAGAATCTAGCAAATGAAGCAGATGTATGATATTTTTTTACTTAAAAGATTTCTCATCTTTCTGTTTCACTCAGTCTTCGGAAGAAACGTCTGAATAAACTCTAATGAATTTCGCAAACGTCAATTTTAGCACTTGGAAACCCGCTACAAGAGCTATTCGGAGCGCATATCGATGTTGGCACAAGAGACCTACAAATTGCCAACGCTACAGCAGGAAAGACGACCAGCTCAGGAAATCGGAGCATCAACTACCACAATACTAGCTGACAGAGGAGCAAACCAACCCTTGGTCAATGCAATTGCTGAAAGTGAGTTGTAGACGTTTTTGTAGTAGTTTAAAAGATATTGAGTTTTTTTTCGGGTCTTGGTACACAAATTAAATGAGATGACTAAAATTTTCAAAAAACTGTTTTTTTAGATGTGCCACAGAGTCGAGTAGCAAATACTTCAGTGGCGAGTCACGACATTTTTCCAGAACGCCAAGCAGATGTCACCAAAGCACATGCATCTGAGGTCATTTATGATAGCAAGCACGACATTTTCGATATTGATCAAGTCCTAAAGAGCGCTGAAGATGATTTATATCTAGAGAAACAATCTATTGCCGGACTGGGAAAGAATGCACTGGCTGCTGCCAGAGTTGAGCAAAATGATCAGTTCAGTATTGGACATGAAAGTGAAAAGAAAGATAACCTAGCCTCTGCGTTCAAAGCCACATTGCAAGATATAAGTCAAAATCAGTCGAATCAAGAAGATTCTGATCGACTTCTTGCCAGAAGCTCTGATGCTGGTCGTCAAGATGTGCTTCGTGGTGATGATTCTTTTGAACTGCAAACTTCTCTGCCCGTTAAACCGAGTGACGGATCAAAAACTGCTGAGAAAGATTTAGCTGAAGTGGAAGAAGGCGTCGAGGAAGCATTGGAAGATAGCTACTCTGATGATCTGGAAGACGATGAATCTGAAAATAACGAAGAAGACTTAGATGTTAAGCCAGGCATCAATTTAGTGTCAAATAAGAATGTTCTAGAAAATTCACATGACGTGCATGCTGGCGGAGACGTTCCAGGGCCTTCACTAGCGCCAGTAGTTGATATGAATAAGTCACTGGAGTTGAAAGCTAAAGAGCCAGCACCTGAAGATCAAAAACGAATGTCATTCAGAAATGTCTTTGCGTATTCGGATTCATTTCTAGACGATGATGAAGAAAACCAGCGAGAAAAGAGGAAAAAGAAAGATGACATATTTTCTGACAGTGATGACAACGCGGGTTCTATTAAGCCAATTGGTTCCAGGTCAGCCCAATTTAGCTGCAGTTTTTAACATTCACGCTTTTTTAAGTCGCTTTTTTTCAATTCAAAGTTGGACTATTTGTGAAACTGGGTTCATTTTTTAAAAGCAGCACTCACTGCGACTCTGCGTTTAACAGTAACTTTCACTAAACTAAAAGTCTGACATTTAATCTAAGTTTCGAACTTCATTCAGGAACTTTCAAGATTCATTCGACGATTTCGGAATCGAAGACTATGACGACCCTGTGCAAGTCGAAGCGCCTTCTTTCGAAAAACAAACTTCAGCTCCATTAGACGATGGATCAGAAGAGTCTTTTTAGAGTTGTAATCTACCTGACCGGTGAACAGATTCATTGTATTATATTTGTAAATAGTGTACATAGTCGTTTTCGTTAATGTGGATTGATAAATTTGAATGAGTTAATCAAGAATTACTATTATTGAATACAATTTTTGTTGAGCTTCATTGTCCAAATTGTTCAAATCCTGAAATCAGCGAAATTTTCCTGGCTTGATGGATGTTTTTAAAGTTCTATTTGTCCTTTTTAATCGTCAATGAACGGAGTGAATACATTTATATAAGTCCTGTTGATTTTTTTCGTTGTTCGCACTGATTTTCATGTTTTTCGTGGTTTGAATTTTGATTTTGGAAGTTCAATTCAAATCAGCTATAAGGAAATGAAGTTACGCGCTCCAAAGACGACAGATGAAATGAAGCGAGAAAAAAAACATGACTGACTTGAGATTCGAAAGTGGATTTGATTGATCCATTAATTTCAACCTGGCCTAATTTTATCATGTATCTACAAATTGTTCTTTGAAATTCGAAAATTGATGCTTTTTTTACCTAAGCAATGTTTGTGTTATAGTATGAGCTATCTTTTTTTCTACATAAGTCGCAAATATTGTTGCGATAAAAATTCTATTGAAAGCGTTCATTTTGATCAATAACCAGCTATTAAGAACAGCTAATGCTAAAGATATTAACACAGACTATTATTGTTCCGACTTTCGTAACGAAGTAGCGGAATATTTGGTGCTCGGCGTGGTTTTTTCTTCAGACAAATTTCGATTTTTAACTAGCCATTTTTGACGGGATATTTTTTTATTATTCAAAAAGTATTGTTTTCCTGAGCTTAAATTTGGAAAGATATTTCACCTGTGATCATTTTTCCTAAAGTTATGGGGGTTTAAAAATTGCCAATTCGGGACAATTAACGCGCTATATATTTCGCTTTTAACGAGATTTAATCCGTCATAGAAATCGCTCCAAATTGGTTGAAGGAAGCTTATTTGCCATAACTGATTTGTTACTAGGAGCGAAATTTATTATTTTTTACTTGATATGGCGTGTCGGGGGATGAGTTTCACAAAAAATTTCAAATTAAAAAAATTCATTTTTATTTTATTTTATTTAATTTTTTCATGTTATTACTGCTCCATAGACTGCTGTATAAGTTGAGACATGCTAGTTGGTTAATTTTTTTGTTTTTGAGAAAATTGACTGCTAATGCGTCATAATTGGCCTGCGTTATTTAAGAAATTTTGTAGACTCAAAGTTTTACTCTCTCAGTTTTTCCCAGTAGCGTTATCGGTCATATTTTTGCTTCTGCATGCGAAGTGCAACTTCGCCTCTGAGTCAAAAAAATTTTCACTCAATTTTTTGAAGCGAAAGCAAGTCTAAACCAAGGATAGCCGGTTACTGTGCAAGTAGAACAATGTTTCGACCAGAGCCTTAAAATACTGGAAAAAAGTTTTTTTTTCAAATCTGTCGTTAGTTTCGGCGTGGTGTGATAACAGCAGCTGAACTAAAAGCTAGAAATTAGGCATATTCGACAGTCATTGTAGAAATAAGCAAATTGGAAAACAGTTTTTGTAGAAAATTAGCTCGCAAATGAAAAAAAAGTTTCCAAAAAGGCGCTAAAAAACTCACAAAAACTAAGGTTACTCGAGAAAAACTAAGCTTTTACATTTTAAGCTAGGCTATTCTAAGCTTAGAAGTCAATGAATAAAGCTACTGTAAGCCTGCTCGCTCGCTTAATTCGCACGAATTAAGACCAAAAGCCAAAATTTTCAAACCCGTTTTTCTCGACACTGGGAATTTGTTTCGAATTTTTTAATGTCGATGGAATTACGACTGTAAGGGATTTAATATGATATAGCACTCAACACTCTCCGATGATTATTTGTGGTAGCTAATTTTGCGTTGAAAAGAAAAAATTGCCGAATACAAGTTCCTCCCAATTTTTCAAATGATTGGAACAATTTAGTATATGTTGGCTGTTTTACAAAAATCATGTTTTGTACAGTTAACACTAGCGAACTTAGTGTTACAATACTTGGCGATGTTTTTGAAATCAGAGAATGTCTCTGGGGTAGGTTTGAAGCAAGGTGCATCTTTTTTTTTGTGATAATGCAAGAGATTAAAGCGTAAGTTGACCTTGAAAGAAGTGAAAATCAAGCCGTTTTTTGTTCCTACCACCCACAGAATTGGGAAGAACAATGGCTTAAGGTTTTTTCCTACGCAAAATCAGTTGCCTTCAATTTTTTTCTGGAGCATCGCCACATAGTTATTGGACGTATTTTGCAGTTTTCAAAGCCTAATTTTTTTTCGAAAATATGATTACACATGCGGGAGCAAGTGTCTTATAATCGGAAACTAAACATTTTCCAGTAAACAACTTTTCTTAGAAATCGTACTTGCTTTTCTTACTTGCTTTATTGGTGAATCGTAGCTCGAGACTTTCTCTCGTTTGACCCTGATGTAACACGATTGCCATATACTCTCGGGACTGGGATTCCCGTCCCGGTCAGAACTTGAAAAGAAATTACCGAGAAAAATTGAATTGTCTGACTTTTGTTTGGCTGCTTAGTTTTTATCGGCTTATTTGGCACATCGGGGAACTTTCTTGCGCTGTCGGCAGTTTTCATTATGGATGCAAATGTTTTTGGTTTACTCCTGTAATTTGTATTATTAATAGCCCTGAATTTGTATAATTTCCTTCTTGTTTTGCTTAAAAGCTTTATTCGGCCTAAATGGTTTCGGTTTATATTGTGTGCATTATTTTGATGCATTATTTTTTGTCTGATGCATTATTTGTGTCTGATGCATTATTTTGCACCTAGATGCATTATTTTGTGTCTCTTCAAAGGGAAACTTTGAGTATTATTTTTGAAAAGTTCCGGTAGTTTCTATTGCAAGATTTCAAAGTTTAAAATTTTAATTGCTCAAAAAGTTTTTTTTAGACATGTTCAACCACTTAGACAATTTTACTCAATTGCTCAATTTTTTTTTGTCAATTTGTTTCTTTCAACAGATGTCTACCTTCTTGTTTTAGGCTTGTGCTCTGTAAATACTGAAACCTTATTTGATATTGGTAGTTGTGTTTTTCGACTTTCTGAAATTAAATCATTTTTTCATCCATTTTTTTTCCGATTGTTAATTCCGTCTCCTTTTCTTTTCACCTGCTTGCACTGCTACGTTAGCGTTGTATCGCTAGTGATAATCTCTGCTTGCGGCGCGAAGCCCTAGTTCGCATCAGTGAATGATTTTTTTTTGCTGCTATCACCTCATTCATACATCCTTTTACCTAAATTAGTATTTAATTTGATATAAGCGGGGTGTAGCCTAATACTACGAGGTAATTTTTTTCTAGCCCAAGTCGCCAATAAAAGGTCACAATTGGTGACCTTTTTGGTAACTTGGCAAGCATTGACAATTCATTAGCATCTGTAGCTGCTTTACTGGTCCCTTATTTTAGTTTCCAAGCGACCATGGCGCAGGTGCGAGGACGTGAGACTTCTTATCTACAGGTTCAATTCAGTCACACTGAAGTAATTCAATTTTTTAATGGTGGCACGTTTGCTGCATAGAATTGGTAATTTAACAGAAACTGTAGCTGCTTTATTGTTGAGCAATGTGTGTAAATATATTAGAGTACGTGGCGAGGATGTGAGCCTCCTAATCTCCTGGACGGTGATTCGATTTCGGTATGTAGCAAAAATTTCATTTTTAGGCTTATTTTTATTTTTCTTTCTTCTTCCGTATTTCAATTATTTGTGCTTTTTCAGAGCTTTTCTTTGCCGTTTTCCCGCTCTTGTATGCAAATGCAACTTCACCAGTGTTATATTTTAGTTTTATTCCATCGGCAACCAGCGATTCATGTTTTTTCCCCATTAAACTGTCCTTGAAACCAAAAAAAAAACTAGCCTAGGGTAACGATCACCCATTTTGTATTGATAAGATTGAGCAGATCTTCTCCTTTATAATAGTTTTCTTATTTTGTAACCCTCGGCGGGTTAGGTTTCCTAAAAAATTCATCATAAGAAAAGTTTGAATTGAGGTACCCTTGCGATAAGCAAGGATATTGCAAGCGAATAATATTTTTTTTCTTAAAAACATTGTTCACGTAATTCGATCATATAAATGTTACGTGTTTCAACTTTCTTCATAATGAGTTTAAAATTAATTAAAGGTTCGAACCATCTGTTCGAGTGTATGCTATGTTGAGTTCGAGTCGGACCGGGAAACATTTTTGATCTTTTTTTGGATCTCTTTCGGGCCGGGATCTCTTTTTTTTCTTGTCTGTCTACATAATTTTATTGGGCGCATTTTAGTTCTCACTTTTTGGAAGGTCGAGCTTTTTTTCTGAAATTATGAATGCCATTTCTAATAGAAGTTTTGTTAATTTTTTGATAATTTTTGATTTTTAAACAAATAGAAATTTTGAACATTTTTATTTAAACTTTTTGATTCATCGTTTCATCTGAACTTTATCACATATATAATTTTTTGATTTGGAAGTAAAAATTTTCAATTTTATTCGTAACCGAGAAGAAGACTTATTTTTTGTTGTCTCCATATTACAGAAACCATTAGTTGGTATTTGCTTTAATTCATGTGAGCTAAGTGTTAAATGAGCTCATGGCGGGAATTATTAGTTACAGTTAAGTGATGGAAAAATGGAGCGTATCTCAGAGTACTTACATCGACATCGATTTCTCAATTTTCGACATGTGGCTGGACGGCAGAAGATACGGGGACATCATGAGGTGTAGCAAGGACGGAATGACGGGACCTATGAAGGATCTGTTTCGGGAAGTTGCCGACGATGTTATCAGTTCGCATGTTGGGGAACAACTTAGTTTGTATTTGTTTCTGAAGAGCTTCCTGGAACAACCAGGAAACTTTCTGGTTCTAGAACATCAGCTTGCATCTCCCGACCGGCAGAAGCTCATAAACAGTTATTACTGGTTCCAGGAAGACTTTGCGAGAGAGGTGCTTAATCACAGGCTCTCATCGAAGTTAAGGAAAGATGTAGAAGACATAGCGTTTAAACATGGTCTTGCAGAACACGCATGTCTTCGGTACTTTGATAATTTTCGCAACGTCTTGAACAAGTTCGAAGACTGCGACACGGTTCCAATTGTTGACTTCGTAAAGAGTACTTTTGGAATGAGCGAAGATTTGTCTAAAAAGTACGCTTCAATTGTGTTTTTGCAGCACTTCAAGTTGGATATCAGTAAGCGCAAGATGCAGTTCCTGAATTTCAATGCACTCTGCGGTTTGTCATTAGTTGTTATGAAGTACTGGACTTGTGATAATGCGGACGAAGCATCGGATTTTCTAGACAGGGAATTTTTGAATAGAATGTACGAGTGCAAAAGTGTCGATAGCGATTCGGTTTCTTCTCTGGCTGAACTATTGTTGACCAAATTGAATGCAACACCTGGAACCGCTGGTGAGTCCTAGACTTTGCTGAGATAATTTTACCGAGCAGTGTTGAGTTTTTGCATTTGAGAGTATATCAATCAAGTTTGGTTTTATCTATCCATCTATCTATCTATCTATCTATCTATCTATCTATCTATCTATCTATCTATCTATCTATCTATCTATCTATCTATCTATCTATCTATCTATACCTTATTTAAATAGCGTTTCACTTGAGAAATGTTTAAGACGTCCCAATGTTGACATTTTCAAGAAGTCTTTTTGTTGACATATTTACTTTTTGAATGTATTATTTTTTGCATGTTTAACTTAAGGTTTTTTGCACGTTTAAGCTATATCGTATAATTTAATGCTTCAGAAATTTCACTTGGCACATGTTTAAGAAGTCACTATATTGGTCTGTTAAATGGCCAAAACATTGCAAGGGTTGAAATGTTTACTCAAGTCGGCGTTTTAAAATCTGTTGTAGGGCAAATGATTTAACTCTACGTTTTTCGTATATTCGCAACGTTAAACTATTAAATTTTAGCTTCACCATTTATTTAACTAAATAGTATTTTCTCAACCCTATATTGGGGTGCTGTCAGGTTAGACTCAGTAGTTGCAACTCTGGCTTCCAAGTATGACTGCTCAAATCCTTCTGGTTTTCGAGATATGGCCTTTTTTATGATTTTTTCATTTTTTTTTCAAAAAAAACTTAGAAATAAAATATGGTAACGGAACTTGAAATTCTCAGCCCTATAGTGGGTTACTGTCAGGTTAAACTCATGAGTTGCAAGTCTGGCCAACAAGCGTGACTGCTCAAATTTTTTTGGTTTTCGTGGTATGGCGTTTTTTATCATTCAATTTTTTGTTTCAAAAAACTTAGATATAAAACAAAGTTAATGAAACTTGAAACTCTTAACCCCTATGTTTAAGTTCTGTCGGGGTGCAGATAGAGATGGCAATTCTTCCCTTTAATTGTGACTGCTCATTATCTTTTGGTTTCCGGGCTATGGCGGTTTTTATGATTTTTCGTTTTTGTTTCAAAAAACTTGTTGAATTAAAAAATTTAACGGAACTTCAAATTCTCAACCCTAAGGCGGGATCCTGTCAGGGACACATAGGCGTTTAAAATCAGCTCTCCAAATCTTACAGCTCATTTTTTCTATTGGTTTTCGAGATGTGGCATTTTTTTGCTTTAAAAAAATTTCAAAAAACTTGAATTAAAAAAACTAAAAACTTACCGGTCTTGAAATTCTCAATCCAAATGGTGGGGTTCTTTCAGGGTACATTCAGGGGGTACTGTCAGGGTACAAATCAGGGGATACTTTCAGGGCCTCTATCTTTAACTGTCAGATTACAAATCAGGGGGTACTGTCAGGGCCTCTAACTTTTACAGCTCGAATCTTTCTTGTTTGCGTGAGATGCGTTTATCATGATTTTTTCAATACTTTTTCAAAAAAAAACTTAGATTTGAAAACAAGTAATATAACTTGAAATTCTTAACCCTATGATGGGATGCTGTCAGGGAACAATATAGGGTAGCAAATCTGCCCTCTAATTTCATCTGCTCAAATCATTTTGGTTTTCGAAATATGGCGTTTTTTATGAAAAAGAAACCCCTTGATAGATGAGCCCAGGTTATCTTAATTGTTGCATTAAATTAGAGTCACTAAAATATCGCTGGGTCAGTACGTGTTTTAGGAAGCTTTTTTTACGTTCAACGGTTTATTTGAAGCATCGTAGGTGGTAGTCATACGCTAGTTTCTGGAATAACTAGACATCAGTCTAATTTAAGCTGTTATGCAGATGCTTGGCTGGTGATAGAAAACTTTGTTGACACTTGTATTAGAATGCTTAAATTGCCCAAAATATCAGATTACAACCAGATGTTTTCAGATCTTGGCAGCAGCGATCGAAAAGAAACAGTCCGCAGCCTTGTAAAAGAAGTTTTTTCTTTGGCCGCTCATCTGAAAGATATCAAGGAGATATTTGTCAATATGGTGAAAGTGACTGAGTCAATGTCGAGTCTTTCCAAACCAACAGTTTCTGCAATCATGTCTCATTTCGCAGCTGAATCTCAAAATCAGGGATGGAAAGACTTAAGTCGCATCACCAGAGATGATTGGCAGAAGTTTTTCAGAGTAACCCAGAGCTGCTGTGAGATTATCCATGCGCAATTAACGTCATAAAAACACAGCAGAGCTGAAAGAGCTTTTATTTTACAAAAGTTTATGATTTCTACTTGATTAATTTGTGAAGAGTTTAGTTATAGCAGCTAGTATTTCGCATGGAATTTCGAATTGAACTTTTTTTATTAAAAAAACAGTCCTGGAAGCTGTAATTTGTTTAAAATTGTACTGGATTAATTGAATTTAATAGTTCCATATAGACAGAGTTGATTGTTCCCAAGCGTTGGTCATGGTGATGTTTTTTTTCAGATTTGATGGCCATAGACAGAGGTGAAGAGAATTTGAACAATGCAGACCAGGATGTCGAGTGCACTACAAATGAAACCATAGATGTGAGTGACATCAGCAGTGGAGTATCGGGTATTGACGAATTAGACGTCGAGGTATCCGAGTGGCATGAAAATACTCAGCCTGATGAGACAGAGGAATGTTCTAGAATGGATTGTGACGATGAGGTGGGAAAAGGAGAGGGAGATTTGACCCTTGGAAAAGCTAGCAGTTGTGGAGGTGCAAAGAGAGCTAGTGAGAAAGAGCCGATGCAGGTAGTTATGCTAAAGTTTCATAGGATTTATTTAAACCGCGCAATTTTCATAACTGGTATAGTAACAGCAGGGTTGGAGCTTTAAATTAGTAATTAGTTGGGCTGTGAACATGATTCCAAAAAAAAACATTTTTCTAAGATTTTTTAAAATTGTAAAAGTGTATGTTTCAGAAATGTGTTCAGGTTAATGATCATATATAAATAATAATAGAAACCGGCGCTGTTTTTTTCCAGGTTTATCTACGCATTCGACCTTTAAAAGAGGGCGAAAAAGGAGTCAGCTATGAGGTGAACCCTTCTAAAACTTTCATCAAGGTCAATCCTTTTGCCACTTCATCGAATAAACAAGGAGAATTCTCTTTCTCTCACATTTTCGACGGAGCATCAGCAGAGAAATCAGGAGTAGGTCAGAAGCACTTGTTTGACCACACTGTAAGGCCCCTGATGCAGGAGTTTGTGGGCGGGCTGAATTGTTTGGTGTTCACATACGGAGTGACTAATTCTGGGAAGACATATACTTTGCAGGGAATCCCAACAGATATAGGTAAACTTTGTAGCTGAAAAACGATGTTTTTTTTTATGGCCTATAAACAGTGTTCTCAAAAATTACTTGATACCTTAGTTTACAAGCCTCAGATTACTTAATTTACTAAGCTTAATTTGATACTTTAGAAGGACTTTTCACAAAACTTATAATCATAGGCCTAAAAACTCATAGGTCTTAAAAAGATGAATTAAAACTATCATGCAATATGAACTTTTCGTCTTTTTGCCAAAGAGAACTAACTTCTTAGCTATAAATTTTAGGCTTTCTGCTTAGAAACAATTGATTTCACTCTAGGTATATTACCGCGTGCGCTGGACGTGCTTTTCAACTCAATTGGAGAGGATCAACTGTTCAAGGAAGTGAGTCCGATGCCAGTCTACTTCGACCAGTTCGAAGATGTATCTCAAGCAGAAGTGGAAAAACACGATAAGCTCAAGCAGAGACTACTCAACTCATCGTGCCGTGCTGTGCATTCAGTCTTGAATCAGGTTGCAAATCATTTCATTTCAAATTTTGCGTTACCGTGCAATATGATTGTTTTTTTTATAGCAAATTTTTTGTTCAAGTCTCGAAGAAAAATGTATCCGAATTACTTAATTATTTTCTATGACATTTTTTTGAGCTGAAAATTGGTCATTATATCCTCTCATATTGCCTCTATTTAGATTATATTGAATTTGTAATGAAAGGACATTTGATACTCTTCAATTCTAAGTTAGCTTTTTGTTTATAAATCTAGACTATGATATCTGGCAGCTCGGACCGAGATGTTTCCATGTTCTGTCCCAGTGTAAATTCTACTAGTGTCAACTCCACTGCTCACTCCATTCAAGTGACGCCCCGCAATTCAGTCCTCGAAGACCAGTCGAGAGCCAGAGACCAGTCAAGTGTCCCAATGACATCAGTGGGAAGGAATTCGGAAGATGCGGGATCGAATGATGTCGAAGAAGGGAAGGAATCCAGGGATTCAGGGTTCAAAGGTTACGCTGTTTGGGTGTCTTTCTTGGAGATATACAATGAACAGATCACGGATTTGCTTGTGGCTGCAGTGCCCTCTCAGTAAGTGCTTCGCTTCATCATTTTTTTCCAATAAGATGAGGAGCACTGGTGAAGCCACTAAGGTCTTTGCCTTTCATTTGAAAGGATGCTAATTTGAGACCCACCATGTTAAGTGCAGTTTGCTTCAGAGAGAATAGATATTTTCGAGTTTCAGAAAAATTAGCAAAAAAATGAAAAGAATGTTCTGAATCATGGATGAAACAGCGTTGCTCAGTAAAAAGTTAGCTGAACGGCTACCATATTGGTTGTTTGGCCCTTCGACAAATAGTCGTAATGTTAGCGGTTTTAAAGCACGAATCTAGTTTTAATTCAATAATGCTCAAATCCTAGTTTTTTCTCGTTTTGTGACTTGGCTGGCGCCGAGAAACAGTCGAAGTTTATTTTTTAGGGGAAAGGGAGCTGCGACACCCAAGCCGAATAACTTGCGATTACACGAAAGTGTGAATGGAAACGTTTATGTTGGTGAGCTGCGGGATATCAAAGTAGACTCGGCTCAGGAGGCCTGTCAGATCCTGGCAGCTGGTCAGAGGAATCTGCGCTACTGTGCCACAGCGATGAATCAGAGGTCCTCGAGGAGTCATTGTATCTTCAGTATCAAGTTGGCGAAAGTGTGCGAGAGTGGAGTGCGGGCTAGTTTGTTCTCGTTTTGTGACTTGGCCGGCGCCGAGAGGCAGTCGAAGACAAACACTGCAGGTAGATATTTCATAATCCTTGGAGAAAAAAAATAATGCAACTTCGCTAAGTTCAGTAGTGGATTTAAAAGGAGCACACAACGTTCTTCGGCTCTCATTGCCCTTTCAGGACTTCGCAACCAAAACCGGCTAGCGGACAGTCTTACTGGATAAAATTGCCCGGATAAACTCAAACCGGATGTTATCCGCCAGGACTAAATCCCCTTGGACAAAATCCCCAGCATTTGTTTTAATTTTTCCTGCATTAGTATCAGTCAAAAATAGGTGTCTCGGAAAACAACATTAAAATTGGAAACCATAAATAGAACTAAGCCTGAAGTAGAGCTGAAAAAAAAGATAACTAAAGCTTAAATTGGAAAAAAGCGGGTTAGCAGCGATAACTTCTAAATAATCCATCTGTATGTAATACGCCTAAGTTGTTCTTGTCTCGCGTGGAATTTTTCTCAAGTTTGTTCGCGATAAACTGAATTACTGCAAGATTTTTGTCATTGGATAGTTTGACAAATACAACATCGACTAAAATGCACGTTGGAATCTTCCGAGAGTACTTTTTGTTCTCGGCACGTCGTCAGTTGTACGAAAATAGACGTTCCAAATATCTTTATCGAACCTGGCCTTCCTTCTTCAAGCATGTCGCTTCTTCTTTTCGCCAAAAGTATCCTCGAATTAGTTTTTGATGGCGTATAGGGTCTGATCACTCTGGGTGACAATTTTGTAACACGGCTCTACATGCAAAATGTCTGCACAGCCACGAGGCGTATTGACTGAAAATCTCAGTGCTCCCGATATTGAACGGCAATACCGAATTCAAGGATCTCTCTGTAGTGTAGTTGGCCTGAGAAAAATGTTAGAAACTTCCCTATCTTCCCCTTTCAGGGAAGTTGACACCTACGGAATCAATGGATGGTATTTCATAGTCCATCAATACAAATACTGGGGTTTCCACGTCTGATATTAGATTTCACTAGATTGCCTTGTATTTGTCAACTTTTTAATTTTACTTTTGATTGTAGAGGTTTCTATTAGAGATTTCTATAAGAAGTTGATATTCAAATTTCCCATCGAATTAAAAATTTACCTTTGATCCAGTTTTCTCAAATCATCAATTTTTCTAGAAGTTAAAAGAATTTTAAGGGCATCTATTTTTTCTTTGAAAACGAGATTTTCTAAAAAAAAAGTCAGTATTTTTTTCTGGTTGGATGTTTAATTGCGTTCATTGACTCTTTTCCAACTGTCTGCTGGCTATCTTCGTTGTTATTTTTCAATCAATTGACCCTCAAGAGCCCCCGCTTTGGTTCTATTTTATAACACACACAACTTTTCTGAAGGCGCGTTTGGCTCCAATCTTTCTATCTATACTATCTACCTTTACTATCTACCTATATCTATCTCCCATGTTTAAGCATAATAATGCTTAAGAAAATTTTTCAATTACTTTTCCGCAAGGTCATTATTTTTTCAGTAATTTTTTTCGAATCCAAATTAAGTCTGTCTGTCTGTATACCTGTTTTTTCAAATCATTTGGTTATGTCTGTCTACCCGTCTCCTAATTTTTAATTTTCAGTTTGGTTTCGACGATTAAGTTCAAAGTAGAACTACTGTCAAACGGTTGTCTCCAATCTTTCTTTATCTGGATTTTCTATTTTTTTTCTGTCTTTTTTCGAGCCTTCTTTTTCGATCTTTTCTATATTTTTTCTATATATTTTTTGTCTTTTTTTGTGTATTTTTTGAGCTTGCTTTTTCGATTTTTTTTATATAATTTTTTTCTATCTTCTGTCTTTTTTTCTATTCTTCTTTTTTGATCTTTGTTTTCTATCTTTTTTTCTAATTTTTTTCTCTATTTTTTTTGTCTTTTTCGATCCTTCTTTTTCTCTTTCTTTTTCTATCTTTCTTTTTAATCTTTACTTTCACTTTTTTATATCGCCTGTCTCCAATTATGACTGCTCAAAACTTGTAGTTTCCGAGATGTGACGTTTTTTGTAATTTTTTCAAAAAGTTTTTAAAAAGTTTGAATAAAATTTTGTATTCAAAATTTGAAATTCTGTACCCTGTAGTTGTATGATATCAGGGTACTCTCACGGGTTGCGAATCTTGATTCTAGGTATGACGTTTTTTTTTTAAAAATTATTTTTCAAAAAGTTTTCAGAAAACGTAACCTAAGTTTTTTCCTCAAAATATGAAATTCCCAACCCTCTAGTTGGGGGTTATCAGAGCACTCTCAGGGGGTTGCGAAACTTGCCTCCAGTTAAGTCTGCTCAAATTCTTGTAGGTTTCGAGATATGACGTTTTTTATGATTTTTTTTTTCAAAAAAAATTCAGAAAATTTGAATTAATTTTTGTTTTCAAACTTTGAAATTCATTACTCTGTAATTGCTTGATGTCAGGGTACTCTCAGGGGTTGCGAATCTTGCTTCCAAAAGTGACTGCTCAAATCCTTGTAGTTTTCGAGATATGACGTTTTTTGTGATTTTTTAAAAGTTTTGCAGAAAACTCAACTTTTGAATTTTTTTCAATTTGAAATTCCTAACCCTGTAGTTGGGTGCTGTCTGGGTACTCATAAAGGCTGCAAACGCTGTTTCTAAATAAGACTGTTCAAATACTTGGCAGTTTTTGAGATATGAGGTTTTTATGATTTTTCAAAATTTTCACTAAATTAAATATCCCAACCTGTAATTGGGTGCTGCCAGGGTACTCTCAGGAGTTGTAAATCTGGCCTCCAAAAATGGCTACTCAAATATTTGTACTTTTCGAGATTTGACGTTTTCGAGATTTGACGGAAAATAGGAATTAAAAAAATTTAAATAATATGAAATTACCAACCATGTAATTGGGTGCTGTTAGAGTACACTAAAAGCCTGCAGATCTGGTTTCCAATATATGCGGTTTTTCATGAGTTGTGAAAAATTCGAAGCACCGGAGGTGCGTTACACGCTAGGATGAATTATTTCTGAAGGTTATAATAGTTTGCCTGTGATGCAAATGTTTCGGCAAAATGCCTTTTGGGTGCTTCGGAAATATTTGTTTTACTACTAGACCATCCAAAAAGCAGTAAAGTGAGATCTCTGTGTTCCCATTTTGGAAAATTCTACGAAGTTAATTTTTTTCATCTCGTGTTTTTAGGTTCTTCTCTGAAAGAAGCGGCGAACATAAACACAAGTATGATGCAGCTTGGATTATGTTTGAAACAGCTGCGTGAGAAAAGAGGTGCAAACCCAGGGACCCTGGGAGACAAAGAGAACAACAAGAAGTTCGTGAATTTCCGAAACTCCAAATTGACATACCTCTTCCAGAATGTTCTACAGGGATCGGGACGGGCAGTGATGATTGTAAATATCGCACCCTGTCTGAAAGTCTACGAGGAGACTCTGAACACTTTGAAGTTTGCGGCGGTAGCGCAAAAAGTGTCGACAAATGCAGTGATGGCAACAGAGGCTCCTAAAGTGGCTGGAAAGAAGAAAATTTCAATTTCTAGTAGGGTTCAGCTAGTTTTTGTTTTGGTGACATTGTAACCGGCATTGTGTGTTGATTTTTTGTTACTGCTGTTAAAGGTTTTGTGATTCAGGAGAGATTCAGCATCAAATTTGTTTAAAAAAAGTCTCCGATTGAATCAAATTTATGCTTGAATAGATCTCTCATTACTATCGATGTACTAAAATTAGTTCAGTTCTAAGTTTTTATTTTGACGTCGGAATTTCAAAACTGACTTTAATTTTTGTTTGAAAAAGTCAACAATAATCTGAAAATTTAGTAATTTTGTAATTGACAAAAAGCATAGGCTGAAAGATATTGCTATGTTTTGGGCTTTTGTAAATCGCTCCAGATTTTGTGAATCGAAATATTTTTTTGGTGTGTTTAGAAAAGTGCGGTCTAAAGAGATCATCTGTAATGAGAATCAACAAAGATGGCGTGATTGAAAAGGTGTTCAAGGACTCTAGTCGAACCAACACAGACAAAACTCCTCGCAAACCGACTTCAAATGCTGCTAGAAAAACGCCAGGTAAGGAAGTTTCCTTGCTTCCTCTTAGCTTCCTGAACGGACTTCGGTGATAGGTGACAATAGAGCACCAAAAAAGAACCAGTGTCTTCCCGGGTAGTAACAAGCGTTTTGATATTTATTAATAGACTGGTCTTTTCAAGGTCAACCGTTAAGTTGTCGCATTGGCGTCACATTGTTGCAAATGGGACTACTACTGAAATAAAAACTTAAATTAAAGGCTCTTTTATCTCGCATTTTGGGAGTGCGCTCTTAGTTATCGTAAAATTAAAAAAAAAGTTTATTGCCGTGGTATAATAGTGCTTAAGGAGGGAGTCGCTAATTCAGCGATTCGACCCCCTGCCCACGCAAAGTGTCCTCCCTCTGGTACTATTTTAGACATCCTTATTGGTCGACCACCCTAAAATTTTTCTAAAGGCTTGTTTAGCGCCGATGGATACTGTTTTTAAGAGGAAGGCGTGCGCCGAAAAAACGCAATTTTTTGTTCAGTCCTAGAAAGTGTCCAAACACGTCGTTTTCGCTTGCTTTCCGGGTTAGTCGATGAACGTAGTTCAGTCTCTTATATAGGTCGCGATGATTTTTTTGTCAGGAAAAGTCTGAATCACTTGGTCTCTTGGTTCATAATGAATTCAAATTTCTAAGCGCCTCCGGCATACTTAGTCTCGAGGTAACGAATACACCTGGGACGGCAAAGGTCGAGGGTTTGAATCTGACCAGGACCTGTTTTTTTCAAACGGAAATTATTTCGTTTCAAAAATTGTCGGCTCATTTTTTGACTACTAATGTTTTGTCGGCTCATTTTTTGTCTGCTTATGTTTTGTCGGATTAGTTGCCGCATCCTTTTTGCTGTATGCAGTTTTTTATTGTAATTATTTTTTTTTCATTTACTGCAACTTGTAATTCAACTAGACTTTGCTTCGTATATTTTCCTTTTTTTAAAATTTTTTTTTGATTGAAAAAATTTTCGGCCTAAATGATTTCGGCTTATATTTTGTCGGTTTGCTAACCTAATTTTGGGTAGTTTGAGGGAACCATAATATGTATGTTTTCCTCTGGATAGCACAAAACGTTAGAAATCTCAGAAAGGAGTTTGTAGTTCAAAGTTTTTGTGACAACAATGTTTTTTTTTCGCTCAAACATTTGTTAAACGCCGTCGAATGTGTTTCTGGGCGTGTTTTTTTTTGCAAATAGGCAACATTTTGTTGTTTTTAGTTGTGGTTTCTTCGAAAAGTTTTCTAACTTCTTTAGACATAGAGACTCTTTTTTTCCTTTCCTGTCTCCAAGCTTGCAATGCTGTTTTTTTTTTGGTATAGCAAGTGATGCAAAGTGGTATCGCAAGTGAAGCCTCTATGTGAAATTGGTTCAGGCTCAAATTTTTCTTTCGCGGTTCGACTTTTGATTTTTTTTTCAAGTTCAGTTAATTTCTTTTGTTGAAAGGAAGGCAAACTCCACTATCGAACAGCAAAAGTGTAAAACTCCTGAAAAACGTGATCGACTTCTATTTTCGAAATGGAAGATAATTTTCAGATTTCCCGGCGAAAGTTTTCGCGATTTTCTCAAATTGGTTAAGTTTATCGAAAAAGTTCCAATCATCACTTGTTCTAGAACTTCAAAAAGCAATCCGTCGCAGAAAGTTTCGTCGAGATAGGGTCTCAATGGTGATTCGAGAGAGCTCGGAAATTCAACTTGGGTGACCTAAAAAGGATGACAAATTTTTCGAACATTTTTGAAAATCCCCCTCCTTGAGAAAAATCTAGATACGCTCCTGAAAGGAACGATCTTTAGGTTGACGAGGGATGGATTTTAAAAATCTTCCTCTGTCATCGTCTCTTATTTCATGAGCATTGATGCAAAAGAACGAAAGTTTTCTGTGAGTTGGGCAGTGGGAGGAAAGTTTGAATGCATTATTTTATGATTATTTACAGGTGCTACTGGGGGTGCCAAAAGACAGGAAGTTATAACCGAAGAAGAGGAAGAAGATGAAACGGCGAGTGAGGACGAAGATGAGAATAATGGGAGCGAGGAGGATGATGAGTGGTATTTTGAACCACTGGTGTGGGATAAAGACAAGGAAGTGACCGAGGAGATAACAGAGAGCGACGAGGAGAAGATCATTCCGTTTCCGGACTACAAGAGGGCGAGTTAACTATTAAGGGCTCTGGGAACCGATCGAATCATGATTATGCCAAAATCTATTACCGTTTTAAAACATTTGTGTTAGTTAGGTAATATGCTGCCATTGCATCGCGAAAAATTGCGTAAATTTCATGAGCCAATTTTTTTTGGGATTTTGGTCTGTGTTACGAATTAGTTCCATTTAGTTGCCAGGTGAGTAATTACCGGGGTTGCAAGCGTTAGTGTATTGGTATAAACCGTCTTTTTTCTAACCTAACTCGCACATAACTCGTGTTCACTTATTTGGTAGTTTTTTTGATATAATCACGATCTGTAGCATTAAAAATTTCGATGCATCAGTTCTCTGCTTTATTTGTGGCTAGAGTTTGTAAATAATTAAGCGTCCGTAGTTAGCGTGGCTAAGTAGTTAGTCCAAATCTCTATGCCGCAGAACGAATCCGAGACGTAGCCGAATTTTTAATTATTCGAGACTTATTTCTATTTTTTCTTATCGCACTTTACAGCTGCTTTTTGTCGTTTTATCGCTTATGTTTGAGAAGCGCAGCTTCGCCCCTGTGTAAATAACTTGCTGCAAAAATCAGTCATCTTTTAATAAATCTCTAATCGTCTGAAAGGTATCTGCTGAATGATTTGTCTGAAAAATAGAAATATCCAGACCAGTGTTTCTCGACAGCTATTTGTTTTTATTTTTGTTATAGAAATATTCCTTGGTCCGAACAACAATCAGTATTCTATTTTGATTGATCTGTTTATTAGGTGGCAGTGGATTATCTGAGATTAAAAGAGAAATACAATCAGAAAAAGCAGCGAATAGAAGAACTGGAGCAGGAGCAGTGGGTTCTGCGCAACGACCACAACAAACAGATTCAGCGTACTTATCGGAAGCATGACGAGTTACTAGACGACGTGCTTTCACGACTTGAGAGTAAAGACGAGAAAATCAAAAGCCTGACTGCAGATTTGGAAAAAGGAAAGGAGGATTATGAACAGTGCAAAGCTGAGTTGGAGTTGCTAAAAGCGGAGAGAAACACTCAAAAGGAAGTCCCGATCCCGCGAAACGAGGTGAACATTCAATTTTTGAAGCATTATTGGCCTAGATTTTTGTCGATGCTTCAAGATCGATAAGAAATTATTACGCTTGAAAATTGCAAGCCTTATCGAATCAAATCTACATTATCATAAAATCACTGATTTTTTTTACACTGCGAAGCAAAGCGTATTAGTACGAACGTTCTTTTCTTCCAAACTAAGTCGCAAATATTGGTGCCAATTTTGTGCCACATTTACAGCTTATTGATAGTATGTGCTTTGACATTCGAATACTAATAAGTTAACAGAGTTGCTACAGTTTTGATTCATCAAATGAACCGAAAAAAGTTATTTGTTTTAACAACAACAATAATAAAAACTCACAAGGAAGTCCCGATCCCGCGAAACGAGGTGAACATTCAATTTTTGAAGCATTTTTGGCCTAGATTTTCGTCGATGCTTCAAGATCGATACGAAATTATTACGCTTGAAAATTGCAATCCGTATCGAATCGAATCTACATTTCTTAATGTTCGCAACTTGCCTAATGCAATCACTGAATTTTTTTACACTGCGAATCAAAACGTATTAGTACGAACGTTCTTTTTTTCCAAACTAAGTCGCAAATATTGGTGACAATTTTGGGCCACCTTTACAGCTTATTGATAGCATGTGCTTTGACATTCGAATACTAATAAGTTAACACAGTTGCTAGTTTTAATTCATCAAATGAACCGAAAAAAGTTAATTCAATGTATCTCGCAATTTTTTGAAATGCATAATTTATACATACTGTGGCTCTATGCTTTGCAATTTATTAAATGCAAAATTGTGTCTTTTTGTTATTGATGCTACTTTTGCTGCTTCGAATTTGCAATTTATTAGCATATTTAGCTCCGTTATTGATGGCTACTTTTTGGGTATGTTAAGCATCCGTGTCTGAGTGGTTAGTGCGTGGACTCAAATTTGTTAGGTCGCAGAATCGAATCCGACATGTACCCGAGTTTTTGCTTATTTGAGGCTTTTTTTTTCAGTTCAATTGATAGAGCTGCTTTTTGGTCGTGTTCTCGCAAGTGTTTCGGAAGCGCAGCTTCGCCTCTGTGTTCAAATTTTGATTTATAGGCACTACAAGTGCAGCGTCTGCATCTGCTCATTTGGCGTAGTAGTAACGAATTCCTCAAGATCGTATTCTGTTTTGTTGATTAGGACGGCAAATTACTAGACTGGACTGGTATAATTTCCGTTTTTTTCTTGCTTAGAAATTTTATTCTTTCTGATTGATTTCGGCTTTTATTTGGTCGGTGTAGTGGGCTTTTTTGCATCGGTTCTAAGATAAAAATGAATTTATTGTTTTCAATAAATCAGCTTGTTTCTAGTATTAAGTTAAAAAACCAAACTTATTAATTACTCTATATGTTTTTTATGACAACATTTTCAGGTTGATTGGCGTCTAACCACGTTTTGTCGGTTTAGTGAACGCTTGGGCAATGCTACAAGCTGGTTTACACTTTCGAGCTTTTTGCCAGCGTACGAGCGTAGTGTATTAGTAAGACTACTCTTTTTTCCAACCTAAGTCGCAAATTTTTGGGCCACTTGTACGGCTTTTTGATATCATGTGCTTTCACATTCGAATAGTAATTACTTAACATAGATGACGCATTTTTCATTCAAATGAACCGAAAAACTTTATTTGTTCCAAACAACAATGCAATAATAAAAAGCTCGATTTCAGAATTGTTTTAACTCGAAATATCTCGCTATGTTTTTGAAATGCATAATTTCTACATTGTTTGGTTTTTTGCTTTCAATTCATTAGATGCAAAATTTGGTCTGTTTGTGTTTTGTGCCACTTTGGTTTTTTTTGGATGCGAGGACAGGGGACTATAAATCTCCTGGTCGTAGAATCGATTTCGCCGCAATAAAAGTTTTATTTTTACTTTTTTTCTTATTCAATTTATGGAGCTACTTTTTCCGATTTATTAAATTGTTTTCTTCTTTTGATATTGAATTTTTTGTATTTCCAAAAAAAATGATTTTTTTTTTCATGAACAATTTTCTTTGGCATTTTTTGTTTTTGGATTAATTGGCGTCTAACCACGTATTTTTCGCTTAGTGGACCCTCCGAAAAGACTAAAAGTTTGCTTGATGCTAGTGTTTCTTGTCTGTTTTTTTTTTCTGACATCGAATTTTTAGTGTTTTTTTTTCATAAAAAAAAACGTTGAATTTGTCGTATTTCCGACAAAATAGTAGATTTTTTCATGAGAACAAGTTCCTTGGGCACTTTGTTTTCGGAACAATTGGCGTCTAGCCACGTGTTTTGGCTTAGTGGACGCTCGGAAAATACTAAGCGAAAAAATTGCGCATCGGGTTGTCGTGAAAAAGTTTTTGAAATGACTAAGGAAGTAACATAAAAAAAAATGTTTTTTTTTTTTGCGAAGTTGCAACTAAATGAGGAAGTGCGATATGTGACTTAGATGTGCGAAGTTAATTCGATGTGTGGTGATTTAGGAGTCTCTTTTATGGCATGACAAGGGAGACGAGAGTGATGTGAAGTGGAGTTTGAAGCGAGTACGGGAGGAGGAGTTGGAGAAGAGACTTTTCGAGGCAGACGAGGTCTGCGCGAAACTGAGCGAGGAACTGGAAAAGGTTATTAGAGTAGACCCGAGAAACAATTTCTAGAAACGAGAAACTATTTCTTCTTAGAGTCTGCTTAGAGTTTCATCTTCAATTTATAATCGCTTTCTATAAGATTTTTCTTCTATATTTTGAAGTTTCATCATTGGAGTTCTTACATGTTTTTTTTTGGTAGAAATGACGCTTAGTTAAGATTGGGAAGCAGCATTATTTGAGTTTCATAATAGTGCTGTTTTTTAGGTGCGTACTGACAAGAGCGTGAGCGAAAAAGAAGTGAATAAATTGGTGCAAACACTCAGCGTACAGAGTCTAGATGAGATACTTAAAGTACATGAAGACCTGAAGAGAGAATCAGATGCGGTGAAAGAAGAGTTGAAGAAGTTAACAGCAGATAGATGTTATAATGAAGAACTTAAAAAGGAAATAGTATTGAAAGATGGACAAATTGAAAAGATGAGACTAGAAATTGAACTTAAAGATGGAGAAATTGAAAGCACGAAGAAAAAAATGGAATCGAAGGACGAACAAATTGAATATATGCAAAAAGAAATTGAGTTGAAAGACAGAATGATTGAAAAATATAAAACACAAATAGAAGAGCTCCAAAAAAGCCTAGATGGAAAAACGAAGCAATACGAGTACATGATGGACAAATGTGCGGATCTGAACAAAGAGAACTCAAATCTGAAACAAAAAAGGCCTAGATCTTCCCTTCCGGTTTTACGAAAGAGTATGGGAGCGGTTTCCGAAGTATTGAGAGAGGTGGACTTGAATACAACAGTGGATTTAGGCAATGTTAGCAGGGAACTGAATGCGCTGTTGGAAATGCAGCCCATAAGCAAGAATCAAGTGACCGGAAAAGTTAGTGTGACGTACGAGTTCTAAATGATAAAGTTCTGATAAAGGGGTCGATGTTTGAAATGAGTTCTCTCTCTATGATTTGAAAACGTATAGGCCTTTAGTCATGGAAAAAATCTAAACCGGCCTTATGATTACGATTTTGTTTTAACGGTTTATCTGTGCAATGAACACAGTGAGAACACTAAGAGACGTTGTGTTGATTTTTTCGTTTGTTTTTGTTCGCAAAGAAGTCACACCAAATTTGATCTTTTGACTTTTTGTTTGACTTTTGATTTCTCGACTTTTGAATTGTTGACCGCTGCAATGAGCAAGCGTTATTGAATAGGATTGTAGACCTTTTCAAGCTGACAACTGGTTTTTGCACAATTGGAATAATTTGCTCGGCTTGTTTCATTTACAAGAAAAATTTGTGACCACTTTTGTCTGCGTATTTTGAACTGCTTTTTTATTTTTTGAAAAATTGTTTATGATTTAAGCATTTTTCACGATTATTCAAAATCTTTTCAATATATTTTGGTGTTGATGCAATAAGTTTCATTCCGAGAAATTGAGCTGCATTTTTTGATGTTACTAAATTTTTTAACAACGATTTTAGAAGAAAAGTAACGGTTGGTGTCTTGTATTAATTTTTTTGAATTTATGATTTTTTTTCTAATAAAACTCATTTATGAATACAATTATTACGGCAGGAAATTATATATTAAAGCTAATATTACGGCGTATATTTATTTTTAAAAAATTTGTTTCATTCGCCTGGCTTCAAGTGAGCTTTTTTTCTAATCAAAATTTTAAGAGAATGATTAGTCGTACTTATCGTGATATTTTCAAGTTTTTTGCCAAAATGAAATGTTTCTTTTTATTCCAGTTGCACTCAAATTCGGGCAACTGGAACATCTAATTGTTCCAGTTGCACTCAAATTCTGGCAGTTGCACTCAAATTCTGGCAGTTGCACTCAAATTCTGGCATACTCAAATTCTGGCACTCAAAATCTTCGCACCGCCAGAATTTTTTCTAATCAAAAGTTTAAGAGAATGATTAATCGTACTTATCGTGTTAGTTTCAAGTTTTTTTGCCAAAATCAAATGTTTCGTTGTTCCAGTTGCACTCAAATTCGCGCAACTGGAACATCAAGTTGTTCCAGTTGCACTCAAATTCTGGTAGTTGCACTCAAATTCACTCAAATTCTGGCATACTCAATTTCTGGCATACTCAAATTCTGGCACATAAAATCTTCGCACCGCCAAATTCTGGCGGTGCGAAGATCCGACTTTCTCTGTTTTGTAAGTTCATTGGAATTCCATTTGGTAAAAAGATGGCAAATTGAGCTCCCGAATTACGAAAGCGCAATTGGCGCAAAAAAAACGTGATTAAGTTCTAGTTTCGAACGTGGGTTTTTATTTGTAGATTTCACAAGTTGACAACTGGTTTTTGCACAATCAGAATAATTTTCTCGGCTTGTTTCATTTACAAGAAAAATTTGTGACCATTTTTGTCTGCGTATTTTTAACTGCTTTTTTTTGAAAATTTACTTATGATTTAAGCATTTTTCACGATTAATCAAAATCTTTTCAATATTTTTTGGTGTTGATGCAATAAGTTGCATTCGGAGAAATTGAGCTGCATTTTTTTTGATGTTACCAAATTTTTTAACAACGATTTTAGCAGAAAAGTAATGGTTGGTGTCTTGTACTAATTTTTTTGAAGTTATGATTTTTTTCTAATAAAATTCATTCATGAATACAATTTTTACGGCAGGAAATTATATATTAAAGCTTATATTACGGCGTATATATATTTAAAAAAAATATGTTTCATTCGCCTGGCTTCAAGTGAGCTTTTTTTCTAATCAAAATTTTAAGAGAATGATTAGTCGTACTTATCGTGATATTTTCAAGTTTTTTGCCGAAATGAAATGTTTCGTTGTTCCAGTTGCACTCAAATTCGGGCAACTGGAACATCAAGTTGTTCCAGTTGCACTCAAATTCTGGTAGTTGCACTCAAATTCACTCAAATTCTGGCATACTCAAATTCTGGCACATAAAATCTTCGCACCGCCAAATTCTGGCGGTGCGAAGATCCGACTTTTCTGTTTTGTAAGTTCATTGGAATTCCATTTGGTAAAAAGATGGCAAATTGAGCTCCCGAATTACGAAACCGCAATTGGCGCAAAAAAAACGTTAATTAAGTTCTAGTTTCGAACGTGGGTTTTTTATTTGTACATTTCACAGCGGAATCAAAACTTATCATTTATCCTGTTTTTACAAAGTTGACAAATTGACAAGATTAAATTGTTCTTGATAATCAAAAAGTTTTAAGGCCATTTTCCAAAAAAAAAACACTTTTTTTTATTTTCCTCGCATCCATTGACAGTTTTCCAGCCGTCTGTTGGCTATGTTTGCTTTTTGCAGGTTCTGGAGCTGGAGTCAAAACTGGTGGAGAAAGAGATGGAGGTTGATAGTATGAGGCAAGAGATGGACGAATCCCAAGTAGTGGTTCTCAAGGCATCTCAGATCATCTCACAGTCTAATGTGTTGACTGACCTGAGAGAAAGTGAAATGCAAGCCAACGTGTAAGTGTCTGGGACAGCTACTGACAAGAAAATCAAGTTTCGGTTTCAAAATTTTTTTTGGCACAGAAATTTGTGGTAAACACTAGTTTTTGGCAGAAACTTAGTTGTTTTTGGCTATTATTAGTTCAGGCTTAACGCATAAGTGATTTCTGGATTTGTTGGTTGTTAACAATAAAGAAATCAATTAAAAAAGTCAAATGACTGCGTTGGTTTGTGTTCTAAAAGTTATGTAGCGGCTTCTCAATGGCAGTTAACAAAATGCCGCTTGATTCCGTCTTGTGTAAGGAAAATGTGGTTCACGGTGTCCATTCATCAGCAAAGCTGAGCTATACTCTTTTTTTTCTGTGTCTAGAAAACGCATCGCAGAGCTGGACGTTCAATTAAGCAATCTGAAACAAGAATTAAAGCAGCAGAAGGAAGAAGCTCTGTCAACAAAGAAGTCCCTGGAGGCAGAATTAAAGCGTCAAGAAGTTGAGTTGAAACAGCAGAAGAAGCAACACGAGAAGGATATGTCGCAACTGAAAGTGGACAACGACAGCTTCTCACAGCAGATCCAACAGCTGCAGAAACAGAACTCAGATCTCATTTCATCCCTTAGTAGAGTAAGTTTACTGACGTACCTGGTTTTGCAGGAAGTTTCAAAAATTGATGAATTGTCGTTTTTGTCTCTCTAGTTTGAGTTTCAGTTAGGCGTGGGCCTCTAGCTTCATTAAGAGTAAAAGATCAAAATTGTTAAGATTAATGAACGTAGTGAAGACTCTTATATAGGTCTTGCTGATTTTTTTTTCAGGAAATGTCTTAAAAGTCTCTTATAACTACAGAGTACATTCATATATTTTAGTGCATTTATGGGATCAATTGAGCAATCCGCCATGTTTATAACCACTCGAAAATAGTTTGGATGATATGAAATCATAAAACAGATTCTCCAGCGAAAGTAAAACGCCAAAACTTACAATACCGAAGCTCAAAACTTACTATCAGGGTAAAAAAGAATCAATAAAACTGAGTCATATAAAGCGACTTTTTTCTGTCCTAAAAGGAAGAAAAATGTATTGCATACAATATTAAGGTGCTGCGGAGAGCAGTGTTTGGTAATCAGATACAAGGCTAGAGCATCAAACCTGGTAAGTCGCTTTCCTAATGAGGCAATGGTCGCCCAAACACAAAAATTGCTAACACTTTTTAAAAATTAAATCCGATTTTTTTTTCTCGATACTCATATAAAATAAACTTCATTCGGTCAATTGATTGCGTGCTACGAGTCAATTGATTGCGTGCTAGCGTTTGCTGTCGTATTTTCGTAGCCTTCTACCTTTTTTGCTTGGGGGGGGGGGAGATCGCTCAATTGGTCATTACGGGGGGGAGGGGGAGATTGCTCAATTGATCCCATTTATGAATGCAGTTAGGTATATATGCACTTTTTGAATTAATCGGCATTCATCTGCTGAAAGTAACATAAATAGCACTCTGCAAATACGAACGTGGAAATGACGCAAAAACATGAACAATTTCTAGTTTCGAAAGTGGAATTTAATTTTTAGATTTCTAGCGGAATAAAAACTTTTCCTATTGATCCAGTTTTCTCTACCTATTGATCCAGTTTTCTCTAGTTGGGTTCGTTATCAAAAAAGCGCCAATCATAAATTGTTCTAAAAATTCAACGAGCTTAAAAGGCATATATTTTTTTCTTTGAAATTCGAAAGTTTTTGTTTAATTGCGTTCGGTACCCTTTTCCAATTTTGGCTATGTTTTAAACTTGTATAAAGCATAAGAATATTTTCCTATTTTGAAAATAGCTGGTTTTATTTCTAATTGTACTGTATCGCTGATTGGATGGTAGTTTTTTTCCGGCGAAAAGTCTTTAATTAACTTCAATCAAGTCGTCTTGTTTAGGTGAGCTCGACTTCAAGCAAAGGTTCCTCCAAGGCATCTATTGCAGAGACTAAGGGGCAGCCGTTGCTTAATGATTCGTCTATGTTACCGGCCAGTGCGGCTACTGAAGTGATGAGTCCGACCTACTCTGCTCTCCTCTCAAGACCTGGAAGGGACTTGGAATCAACCGGAATCGGACTGGGCTTAAAGGCAATCTCCAGCAAAAGGTAATTAATATTTTCAAAAGGCCGGTTCTCTGAATAATTAACAAGAACGAACTTGCAATAGCTTGCATTTCAGGAATATTTTATGGGCTATTATTTTAATTGACGCGAAATGCAAGAATGATAAAGAAAGAACTTCTTTATCCAGTCAATGATTGAAACGAAATAATATATAATTTTGTTTCAAGTGGTTAGCTTATGCATTAGTTTTACACTATAAATGAAAATTTAAAAAAATTGGATCGATTTTGATGTTACCTTTGCAATAAGCAGGGGTATTGCAATTTTGGCTTAGTTGCCAAGCCGTAAAATATTTTCTTGCTGTACGCAATTTACATTGTAGTTGCTTTTTTTAGTGTTTTGATTTACTTCTGCTGTTTGTAATTTTATTTACGATGATTTCGTATATTTTCTTTTTGTTTGTTTTTTCGCTTTAGTCGGCCCATATGGTTTAGGCTTATTTTTTATCGGCTTAGTGCCTATATTGCCTATTTTTACTAGCGAAAAAATCTTGTATGTGCTTGAGTGTGTTTTTTGGTGAGGTGGACTTGATAATTTTTTTATTAATCTATTTTTTTTCGCTTTTTAAAATTTTATTCGGCGTAATAGGTTTCGGCTCATATTATATCGACTTTGTGGCCTCATATTGTTTCATTCAACGCGCAAAAAAGTTGTTTGTGTCGTTAGAGTGTGTTTGTTTTTTTGTTGTTCAAGTGTGATTTGCTCGAGGTTAAAAAGTTTTGCTCGAGGCTTAAAGAATTGGGATTTGCTCGAGGCTAAAATACAATTTGATTATGAAGTCAGATTGAAGGCTGACCTCCAAGTTTAACTGTGCTACAATTATTATTAGCTATTAGAGATTATATTAGCTATTTTTACACTCATTCTTTCATTTTTTGAACTATTCTAGAAAATTATATCAGCAAATTTGGACAAAAATTTTTCACCTAAATTGACTTTGTTTTCATTTTTTCCCTAATTCAATGTGATTGGGACATTCTGTGCTACTTGCACAGCAACATGTTAATCTTTGTTTCAATATGCAATTGAAATAAAACCATGTTGACATGTTTTAGCGGAAAAGACTCAGAGTCTGAAACAGACGAGCCCCCTGTGAAGTTACTCAAGGGTAATGGGAAAAAAGTTGGGAAGCGAGTGGCAGCTATGAAGAAGATGTTTGAACCGACCGAGGACAAGCCGAAACGCATGAGGTATCCAGGAAGTCATTTTCTGATTGAAATAATTGCGGACGTTCGTATATTGCAATGAATGCTGTCTGAATTGTGTTTTTATGTGTCAATAGACGTAGTGAAGACAGTAGTAGTAGGCCGAGTTAATTTTAAAAGATCATTTTTCAGGAAAAAGTTTATTCATGCTGAAGTTTGAGTTTTCAAAGTCAAATTGAAGTTCATTAGCTAAAAGGATGGCAAATTACGCTTTCTAATTACGAAAGTGCAAATAGTTTCGATTACTTGAAGTTTCGAAAATGGATTTTAAGTTTTAAGTTTCCCAGCGGAATAAAAGTATACCTATTGATTCATTCCCAAATGGCTTAATTTCATGAAACAGGTCAATCATTGAAGGTTCTAGAAATTCGAAAAGCCTTTACTAGATATATATGTTTCTCCAAAATTCGAAAGTTGTAAAAAGTTTGAAAGTAAGTCAAACGTCTTTTTTTCTGTTTCCGTTATTCTTTGTCACTTTTTGAACTGTCTGTTGGCTTTGCTTAATCATGGGTAAAGAAATAACCCTCCGAATGTGGCTAACTACTCATTAAATTTAAAAATTTAAGTTGTTCCAAAGAAAAGAAATCTCATTTTTGATGACTTGAGGCTTTTTTTCCAAATTCTACCATAAAATCACATTCAACAGCTTTTTTTTGAAAATAAAACCGCTTATTTTGTATTACAAAAATCTAAATATTAGTACTTACAAACGTTAATTTGAGTTACACAGATATAATTTCAAGTTTCAGCAGTATACTTGTTCCGACCATTGGAAATGGGGAGGAACTTGGTTTTCGGGTGTGTTTTTTTTGTTATCCACGCAAAATCACGGGCCAAAAAAAAATCATCGGAATGGATTGAGTGCTATCATTTGAAAGATCTTTAGTTGGGATTCAAATTTTCCAAAAGTTGTACGAGTGTCGGGAAAAACTGGTCGAAAATTTTGGAGTTTTAATTCCATTTCGACCGAGTAAAGTGATGGATTAACAATAGTTTGTTTGAAAATTTTATTTCTATTTAAGCTTTGAGGCTAAGAGCAATTATTTTTACAAAAAAATCGTTTTGGAAATTTCATTTAGCGCTTCCTTGGCAATAAACGTTTTCAAAAAAAACTGATAGCTGGTTGCTGTGCAAGTAGCGCAGAATAATCCGACCACATTGTCAGATTTTTTGCTTAAGTTAGGTTCTCGTTTGTACGTCTTGCGATGATACATTCATAGGTACGCGTGGAAACTTAGTAAACTAGGCATAAACGAATCCAATAGTCTTTAAAAAATAAATATGAAACTTGAAAAATGTTAATGTTTAAATATTTAAGAATTTTTTTTGCCACGGAAGAGCTTAAGCTTCGAAAACTAGTTTTGCTTTACTCGCTTGAAATAGACAAAAAATCAAAAAAACTCAAACCGGTTTTTCTCGACACTAGGAATTTTTTGTGCAATTTTTTTATGTCGTTCAAATCACGACTAGACGGGCTTAAATATGATATATCACTCAACACTGTTGATGAATTTTTGTGGTACCTGATTTTGCGTGGAAAACAAAAAATTTAAAAAAAAACTAGAACACCCGAATACAAGAAAAAATTTTGTTTTTGAAGCTAAATGTGGTCGATTATGCCTAGGTTAATCAGTCAATAACTTTCTACGCGTTTGTATAATTCTCTAATTACACCACGCACTAAAAACTACTATAATTTGAAAAAAAAAGAACTTTATAAGTTTCTTATGAATGTGGTGGAAACATTTTGTGATATTTGCACAGCAAATGGCTATACTTGTTCAAATTGTTGTTCATTTTAATTGTTTCTTTAAAGTTTTAAATTTTCATATATTTTTTTGGCTAGTTTTCACTCTAAAATAAATTGAAATTATGGAAGTTCGAATTAATTTGAAGTGTTTATGTAAATGGACATCACTGAGGGCGATATTAGATCAAAAAATGCCAGATACTTTTTCTTAGTCCAATGTTTGTCTTAAATCAACTTCAGCAAATGTAGAGACCTTTTTCCTCGTTTAAAAGAAGGTGAAAAATGTTTAAGCACTTCAAGAAGGGGAGGCAGAGTTGCCAAGAGGACTTCCAGTGGCATGTCAACAACACGAACACGAAGAGCAGCGGCGAAGGCCAAGAAGGCTTTGGCAAATGTGCCCGAAGACAGTATTTTAGACCAGAATGAGGAGAGTTGGGAAGGTGATCTGAAAGAAGATGAAGATACGGAGTCCATTAGTGCTAAGAAAAGTAGAGTCAGTTCGGGAACCTGTACCACTGATTCATTGGACGAGACTAAATTTGATTCGACGATTCTGCAGACATCTAGGATAACGAGGTCGGCTAAGAAGTTACTGGACACCTCCAGTGTGTCTTCAGTTGCAGTATCATCAGCGGAATCCTCAATGGCATCCGGGAGGTCAGGTGGAAGAAAAAGACCCGTCAGTCGAAGTGTGTATAGTTTGTTGCGAATTCTTTAGAATAAGAATTATAGCATTTCAACTTGAAATTTTAAAAAAAGTGATAGGTTAAGAGCAAACTGAGAAAATCCTCATTTTTTGTTTGTTCTCTTCGACAACAGAAAATATAGTAGGTTCATTTTCAGGTCAAGATATATAAAAATGGAGTGTTATTATTCATATATTGCTTAACTGCTCTAGATACAGCAGCAAAGAAGAGTCTCTACAATGTAGTGCCATCCGATTCCTTTGACATGTCAATAGATGACCAGGCGCAACTCAATGAAATGGTGGAACAAGTCATGCCACCTCGTGGACGCAAAGGCAGACCGACCAGAGCCACTCGGGCTTCAAAAAAGTGAATTCAGTGAAGCAGGAAGAGGGAGAGATGATATTCATGTCGGCTCATAGAGAAGAGGAGAGGAGAGATTGCGAATACTATAATGTACGCAGTTAACAACGGAGGGAATTGAAAAGTGCAATGTTGTTTTTAATTATTGATTTAGATTACAATTAAAACTTGTCCGGAGAAATTTATTCGAGGTGAATTGGATGCGCTTTTAGAAATATCAGTTATAGGTCTGGCTAACAGTTCTACTTATACTTTGAAAACAATTAAATAGACGCTGTAGATATATATATACACACACAAGAGTTTTTAAAATTATTCTTTTAGCGCTCAGTTCACTATCTGATATTTAATTTCTGGGTTTATTTTTTTCAGCAATGAGTGTCCTATTGTAAATTGTGTGCTACTTTTTGTCCAAAGAATTGTTTTTTTTTAATTTGAAGTTTGCTTGATAGTGGTGGTTTTGCTTGTCATGAAATTTGCGAATTTTAACTTGAGTTGATAATCAAGTGTTTCTGAAGTTATCTATGAAGTGATGGAGATATAACATCGCGTAGAAAAATATGATATAGCCAATAACCGAATTGAACACAATAACCTTGTGTTCCAGAGAAGATTCGGTTACATAATTCGAACTTCATCAGTTTAACTTAAAATGCTAGATGAAAAACCCTGTCCATTGTTACCTAGCACCAGTGGAAAGCCAAAAATTCTGGGACTCAGACAAATATTTGCGAAATTAAGATATGAATTCTGGGTTTGCCCACTTTTTAGAAGGTTTTGTCCTCGCTCAATATTCAATTGGCAGGCTGACTTTTAATTTTGCGAGCCACGTTTGTGTTAAACGAAGCTGGTAATCAGCAGGGTTATTACAACCCGGTAGTTGGATTTCTTAGTTTTTACACAACGAACTTCAGTGAGCGTAGGGAAATAGTACTACTAAACCTATGTTGCAAATATTGGTGCCACTTTTAGTGGCACCTCTACGGCTTTTTGAAAGTATATGCCCTGACATTCAAATAGTAATAAATAACACAGTTGATGCATTTTAAATTCATCAACTGAACAGAAAGAAAATATTTTCAAAAGAAATTTTTAAATTCAATACATAACGCAATTTTTGAAACGCATAATTCATACATACAGTGGGTTTATGTTGTCCAATTTAACGCATGCGAAGTTAGTGTGGATGCCTTCAGTTTCTTAAGTTCCAAATTTTTAATTGCAAAATTGTGTCTATTTGTATTTTGTACCAATTTTGCTGCATCGCATTGGAAATTTATTAGCATATGTAGCTGCTTTATTTGTGACTAGTGTTTGCAGATTGTTAAGTGTTCATGGCCGAAAGGGCGGGGCGTGGGACTCCAAATCTCGAGGTTTTAGGTTTGAATCCGATCCGTAGCTAAGTGTTACTAATTCCAGGCTTTTTTATTTTTAAGAGTAATGAACTCAGTGAAGACTGTTTTATAGGTCTTGTTGATTTTTCTGTTTTTTTTCCAGGAAAAGTTTTAAAATTCTAATAACTACAGATGTGCATTCATGCACATCGATGCATTTATGAATGGACTTAGGTATATATGCACTTTTTGAGTTCAGTTGAAATTAATCTGCTGAAAGTGATGTAAATAGCGCTCTCCAAAAACAAACGAGGAATTGGCGCGAAAGAAGCGTCAACGGTTTCTAGTTTCAAAAGTGGAATTTCATTTTTAGATTTCTAGCGGAATGAAAACTTTACCTATTGATCATGTTTTCTCTAGTTGGGTTCATGTTAGCAAAAAAGCGACAAGAATAAATTGTTCTACAAATTCAAATAGCTTAAAGGTCATCTATTTTTTTGAAATTCGAAAATTGAGATTTTTTTAAAGAATGTCAGTGTTTTTCTTTACTTGCGTTTATTACTCTTTTCCAATCTATCTTCGATTGGCAATGTTAATTTCTTTTTTTTTATACTTTAAAAAGTTTCTTTGTCATATTCTCCCTTACTGTTTGCGTAGCACAGCTTCGCCTATCGTGTCAAATCTTTAAAAGTTGATGAACGTAGTTCTGGCTCTCTTATAGGTCACGATGATTTTTGTTTTTTTTTCTAGGAAAAGTTTTAAAATGTGTTCAGGCTCAAGTTTACTTTTGCCCTGTTCGCCTTTTGAGTTTTTCTTATGTTCAGTTAATTTCTTTTGTTGAAAGGAAGGCAAACTCCACTATCGAACAGCAAAGGTCACGAAAAGTTCATCAAAACAATGCCAATCATAAATTTTTCTAGAAATTAAAAAGGCTTTATGAGCATCTATTTTTCTTTGAAATTCGAAAGATGAGATGTTTTCAAAAAACAAGTCAGTGTTTTTTTGTTTACTTGCGTGCATTGACTCTTTTCCAACTCAGTTGGCTATGTTTAAATTCTTAATGTTCAAATTTGAAGATTAAAAATTTTTCAGGTTAACAGCCTTATTGAAGACTTTTTCAGGAATCAAATTCACACGAATCATTGGTAAGAGCACCTGCACTACACGAACGTACGGATCTGCTCAATTTCAGGAAAATTCAATTTGAATTACTGGATTACAATTTGAATTTGTTGGCTTAATTTCCACGGCAGGAATTTTATGCAGATACGAGTTATTTCGATTTGATCTTTTTTCTTTTTATTTCGCTGAAACAATTTTTTTTTCGCTCAATCAATTTGTTTAAGCGAAAAAAGCTCCTAGTTTCGATCGGTGTTATATCTGCTTGCATTGGATCATTTAGAGGGTGATCAAAGATTTAAATGCAAAAGGAAATAGCACTCCAATTGAGAAAGCGTACATGGCTCGAAAAATCGGAATGACTTTTTTGGTCGAAATTGGTTTTTACTTTTCAGATTTTCCAGCGTTATAAAAAAATCTTTTGATCCACAGTTTTCTTTAACTGGGCTAATTTCATATTAAAAAATCTTAACGAAAGTATTCCAAATTTTAGAGATTTTGTGTTCATTTTAAGTTCACGAGTTCAACGTGACTCTCTCTTTTGTGTCTTGGCTATGTTTGCCTGCGTTAATGCTGTTTTTTCATGTTCTTTTTTGCGTCGAAAAAACATTTTGAAAGAAATGTAATTATTACTCAATATGTTTTTTTTTTTAAATTTTTGTTTGATAATTTTCTATCCAGTGTTCCCTATAAGTAATGTATACAAAAAAATTATAGATATTTGTTTATTTACGTTTGCGATTAGCAAGCATTATCGAATTGGAATAAAGACTATTAACAAAATCACTTGAGCCATTTGATAGCATAATGTATAATCAATTACATTATCTTGGATTTTCCATCGCACATGGCATAGAGGTTTTGACTACTGTAGAAACGGGAAAAGTCCTAGGCTCGAATTCGGCCATGACATAGCATTTCAAACTGAAATTGTTCAGTTTCAAAAAAGTCGCCTTTTCGTTTTGTCGGCTTAGTTGCCATATCTTGAATTTTTCTTGCGCTGTAAGTAATTGTTTTAGTTGCGAGTGTTTTTTTTCCTATTTGGTTTACTAAATTTAGTGTGTTAAATTTCTGGGTCTATTTTCTAATTTCAGTATCACTTTATTTGGTGATTTTATAACATGGTTATATTTCCTCTCAATAAAAGTGCTTTTTACTTTATCAATTCTTCAATTTCTGTCGAAGCTTATTTTTGTTCTTCTGAATTGTAACAGCTAGTTTTTTATGCTTGCAGAATTATATATCTGATACATAAGCTAAATTTTTTCTCTCGTGAGAATGAATTTTTTCCGTCAGAAGTTGACATTTCTGCTACCATAAAAGCGTATTGGATCAGTTCACTAATAAAATTGATATCAAGTCAATCGTTTTGACATCTGATTCTAGACTAGTTTTTTTGGATGTTCTGCTTCTTGACTTTTTAGCGGCATTTTCTGTGATTCATTTCCATATCGGATTTCCTGTTTTTTGGATCCGAGGGAATATGTAACAAATAACGCATAATTGATCCTAGTCTTCTGTAAAATTTCTTCTGATTACAGTTAAAGGAGTAATAGCAAGGTCTTACACAAATGCGTTCGGCTTTTAGGTGCAATATTTTTTTTTGCTTTTAATGAAATAGAATATATGCTTTTTTTGACCTTTTTCTAGATCATTTTCCCGTATTTCGCCAATTCTTTAGTTTTTCTAGCTTTTTCTATTTTTCTAAGCTTTTTTGCGTTTAAGTGGTTAAGAAATGCAGCTTCGTTCTCCTAAATTCGTTTGAATCAAAGTTTTGAAATTCAAAAGTGGTGTTGTGCTCAATTTTTTTGTCATACTCGATTATGTATTTTCACGAAGTTTGAGAAATCAATTTTGCTTCGTTTTTGAGGCAACTAATTTATGTTCCTCGGTGCCGATTTGTTTTTGAGGAAAAATATTCCATTGTTTTGTACTCATTTTAATATTTTGATGGGTTGATTTTTGGTATATTTTTAGCGTTCACATTCTGAATCTTTTGACAAGTGGAAGGCAAATCACGCTCTCTAACTTAAGTATTTTTAGGTGTCTTTTACTCGACATCATTGCAGTTTCACAACGTTTGCATGTTCCAATAGTCGGAAAACGTAAATAAAACTTGATTAACGAGTCTTGCATTAGCGCATATTGAAGTTTTTCTGACTTTTTTTTTCAAAACTTAGTTTTTCTGCTAATTCATGGTCATGTGGAACAATCAGTAAAATGGAGGTAACTTTTTGTGACCATTTTTTCAGGGCTCGACGGGAGTCTACCCAAGTTTTGTCTGCTTAGTTACCGCTTGGATTTTCGTCTTAATGCTGATTTAACTCTGGCACTCATGTTTTAGGACTGGTTTTCATTCAATGCAAACGTATGAAAATTTTTGGTGATATTCTTCTATTTCCGAATCGGTGGCTTCTCTCAGTTTCTTTCGACTAGCTGCGAGTGTGCCGGTCTTTCAATTTTTTGTCTCAATTTTATGAAAGAATACGTGGAGGTAAATAACGAGGGCAATATAACTTAATTGGAATATACAGTTTTTATTCACGGTGCAAGAAGCACAAAATTGGTCGACCAGACTATACTTATCTCCGTAAAAATAGATAAAATTTAGGAAATTTTTTTTCGTTTTTTTAAGTTAACAATCCTACAGACGATAACACCTTAATTATATGTTTTATTTAATTGTGAATTAGCTACATTTGGCTTCATAACCCTTGTGATAAGCAATGGTATCGCAATCGGGTACTAGATTTTTTTTCCCGTAAATAACTTTGTGCACAGGATCTTCACTTTAAGAGGATCTTTCTTAAAGGGTCTTTCATCTGACATGCTCAATTTCTTGAAAATTCAAATAAAAGTACTATCACTCAGCTAGTATTTAGTTCAAGCCCGTTTCAGTTTGTAATTATCTTTTCAAAAAACAAGAGTCAATTTTTTTCCGGGTGCCTGGTTTTCTTCCTTATTTCTGTCGGTTCAATTTCCGTTTTTTAAACGACAATTTTTTTTACCTGGTAGGGATTTTATTGGCTTACTATTTAAAGGATTGTTTTTTCCTATTTAATTAGCTTTTACTATAACTAAAACTTTACAAGTTTGTATATTTACCATGTCTGATTTTGAGTTTTTTTTTTCCAGTTTTCTTAAATATTCAAAAAGTTTCAGTTTATGTTATATCGACATTTTTATATCGACTTTTTTTCGGAAACTTTTTTTCGACAAATTTTAAAATAAAATGATTTAGGGCTATTGTGAAACCTCACTAATTTCATAGCCTTCCCAATTTGGTCTTGTGGTAAAGTGCGTACCTTGGGAATCTGGGTTTGAAACCCGGCGGGGGTACCTTCTTTCTTTTTGATATATATAGATTTTTTCTCAGACAACTTGAATTGTCAGTCGATCGTTTTTCTGCAAATTTATTGTCGAAGCTTGAATTTTCTTGAAAGATCGGGGAATTTATATCATTTAAGAGTGCCGTATTTTACGTTTGTAAATATGCAGGTAATTGAGTTTCAAGTTTTTCTTTGATTTCTGTTACTTTTACTATGTTTTTGGTTTCAAAGTTCTTGGGGTCAAATTGTTTCGACGAAGGTTGTTTCGGTCCAGTTGCCTCTTAATAGGTTGCTTTGAAGGGCCAAAGTATATTTCGAGTTTTTGTGCTGCATGGGGCGCTACAACTTGGAGTCTTTAAGTTTTTTTATGGCTTGTTTTCGGCTCAATGGGCGTCTGCCCAAAAACTGTCTGCCTTTTACTGCTCGGTAATTTTTGTTCTCAGTTCTAATTTAGCGCTGACTAAAGCGTTTTCGACTTGTGTTGTTCAAGTTGAACATCATCCGAGACATGCAGGAAGTTTCTGAAGTTGTACTTTTTGGTATTTTGTGGCTTCCGTTTCATTTTCTATCCGCTAGCTTGCAATGCTATCTGTTCATTAAATTGCAAGTGTTGCAAAATTTTGCTTAGTTTCTGTGTATAGTTTCAAACAAAGTCTTTGCTTTTCCACGTGCTTTTCCATGCGTTTTTTAATGGTTTCACTTTTCATAAAAACTTAGTCTTTCTACGCTTTCCCATATTTTTCTCATCACACTACGCACAAAAAAGACCCTAATTCGAAAAAATGTTTTAGGGAGAACGGTCGGAATCTAGCAATCCTTTTTTTGTGTACATGGAACAATATGAAAAGAGTTAAGAAATAGTCTTTTCCTCGAACAAATTTTCATCGCCAGTTTTGCATTTCACATAAAATATGAATTTTAATTTAATTGGCTGATTTTTAGAGGAAAAAGCGCAAGCTTCTGTAGTAGCTTCTAGCCAGCAGCTGATACTCAATGAGTACAAGTATTTTAAATGTTAATATTTTGAAGGTTGAGTCTAATTACTGTAAATGAACTTTGTAATGGACAAAAGCGATGTTGAGAACCAGAGTTCAAGCGTCTCTAGATTCTGTCTACACATGTATTCAAATTCTTTCATTACCTACGAAAGCAAGTGCAGAATGCTTTTCTTGATCATTTTGCTTTTAAACACAGAAACATATTGGTTACGATGCAAAGTTTTGTTTTGCGTCTTCTATGGTTCCTTAGCTCATCTATGTTAGTTTGAATACATTTGCGGTTGACAGATTGAAACAGAAAGTCCCTTCACTCTTTCAGATTATTAAGGTATGAATGAGACAATTGGTCATCTGTGAGGTTTTAATACATAGGTTAAAATCTATTTTGCCTCCAACCAAATTGATTAAAAATTGTATGCCAATTTTATACACACCGGGTATCACATTATAGCACAATGTTTGATGAGCTGGAAAAAGAACGCCAGTTGTCTGGTCTGGATGCCGAAGAATTGCGTGTATATCTGGCAGACGACAGAGCGGATTCGTTTGAAGAAATAAAAGACATAATCGCTCGGTATCCTGAAATGACAAACCCAACAGACCTCGACTACCTAAACGCAGATAGGAAGGAAAAATACGAAATAAATTTGAAGCGTTTTTCCGCACTCATGAAAGCAACAAGAGCAGGAGATATTGATCCGCGAAAAGATATTGACAAATTTTACACCCTACTTACGGTAATCAGACATCCAGTGATTGGTCTTCATATTTCAATGGTAGTTCCCACTCTTGAAAAACTAATGACTGACGAGCAATGGGCAGAATGGGAACCCCTTGTCTTGACTTTCAAGGCCATTTTTGCCTACGCTCAGACGGAAGTAGGTCATGGAACTTGGTTGAGCAAGTTAGAAACTACAGCCGAATTTGATCACTTAAGTGACGAGTTTGTGATTAACTCAAACGGATTAACAGGTTATAAATACTGGCCCGGTTACCTCGCAAAAGGCTGCAGTCACGCCCTTGTCATGGCCCAATTGATTGTAAAAGGTCAAAACTTGGGACCGCATCTGTTTGTGGTTCCTGTCAGATGTACCAAAACTTATAAGTCACTTCCAGGAATTGACGATGGCGACATTGGGCCGACTTACTCAATTTACGAGCGAGATAACGGTTTTGTGGGGTTCAAAGAAGTGAGAATCCCCCGCAAATATATGCTGATGAGATACCAGTCAGTTGACAAAGATGGAAATTACAGAAGCGAAGCAAGTACGAAGCTGATGTTTGCAGGAATGCTCAAGATCAGAAGTTTGTTGGTACCCTATGCCTCCATGCTTACAACAATTGGCACCGTAGTAGCAACTAGATACAGCATCGTGCGTAGGCAGTGCGAACTGATCGAAGGTGAAGGTGAGATGAGGATTGTGGATTATGTTACCCAGCAAGACAAACTGTATCCTGCTATTTGTCTCGTTTTTGCGCTGCAGTCCTGTCACAAACAGTTGCAGAAAGAGGTCAAGAAAGTTGAGCAAGAGGTGATTCAGGGAGTCTACGACGGAGTGACTCCTCTACACTATTTATTAGCTGGGTTGAAAGCATTCGCAAGTTCTGAGGCATTAAAGCGTCTAACAGTGCTGCGCGGTGCATGTGGAGGTCACGGCTTCTCTCTCAGCAGTAACATTCCCCCAATGATGACAGAAGCGGATGCTATGTGTACGTATGAGGGAGACAATGTAGTCATGCATCAACAGTGTGCTCGAAGTCTGGTCCGGTGCTTCTTAAAAAAGACGATGGGAGAGAAGCAAGTTGGATTTATGAAATATCTGGACAACGAAGATTCCGAAATCCTACTTTGGGACTACAACGTGCTAATGAACTTAGACTTACTGAGGCTTGCTTACGAACAGAGAGCCAGATATGTACTCACGATTGCGTGTAAAAGTATGCAGAATCACATGGACCGAGACGGTTGCTCCAAGGAGCAAGCATGGATTAATTCAGCTGTTCAGCTTGTGAACGCGAGCATAGCTCATTCTCACTTGTACGTCGCATCTCAGCTTATGAATGCGCCAACAACTACAGATATGTCACCTTTATTGTCTTCGGTGCTACGTAAAGTTTGTATTCTCTACTGCTTGATCGGGATCCGGGATAACCTTGGCGAGTTCCTTGCTTGTGAAGTGTTTCGCAGAGACCAAACGGAGATGATTTTCGAGGGCATTCTGCAACTCTACATGGAACTTCGCCCTCATATCCTGAAGCTAGCAGAAGGTTTTGGCTTGCCGGAGTTTATTATCAATTCAACTATTGGTGCTTCTGATGGCAGGGCCTATGAAAGGCTGATGGAGTGGTCTCGAAAGTCATCGCTGAACGACAAAAAATTCAAGTCGGAAATGTTCGAAAAGTACTTGAAACCCGTTTTGAAAGCGGAAAGCAAGCTGTAGATAAAATTGAATTTGATTTCCATTTTTCCAGTATAATTTTTAACTGTACAGATCATGTAATATAGAAAGTACTAAAGAGATTTTGAAAGTATTTTTGTAATCAAACTCAAGTTTTAAAAAATGCTTGGCGATGGATAAACCTTGAGTAAATCAGTGTAAAGTGGATAAATTTTGGTTGGCATCAGGCTCATCTTAAGTGATTCAACTACTTTTTTTTCATTGGAATAAAATGGCAATTATTAGGAGTAATGGACGTAGTGAAACGTCTTTTATAGGTCTTGATGACTTGTGAAGGTTAACCCGGGTGTGAATCCTTAGACCTGAGATCATTTCCGATACGAAGTGAGATGTTAACATCTTATACTTATGTAATTTTATCTGGTAGTTTCATTCAAATCGATATTTGTGTTGCTTTTTGTTTCAGCTACAGAAGAACTATTGAAGAGTCGAAGAACGAGAAAGGGAATTTAATTTTTAGATTTCCAGAGCAATCAAAACTTTACCTATTGATCCAGTTTGCTCAAGTTAAGTTCGGTTAAATGCTATCAAAAAAGCGCCAATCATAAATTGTTTTAGAAACTCAAAGAGCTTAAAGGGCATCTATTTTTTGGTTGAAATTCGGAAGTTGAGAATTTTTCAACAAAGTCAGTGTTTTTTTTTTCTGTTCACTTGCGTTCATTACTCTTTTCCAACTGTCAGTTGGCTATGTTCGTGAAATTTTGGTTGGGAAGCTCTAAACGAAATTTGTGGGTTTAACCACCTGAGTGTACATTAATGGAAAGAATAATTAAAAACGCATAAAAGCAGTTTTCGATTTTTCTTCGCAACAAAAACCTGCAATGTTCGATTCCCAAAACGCATTAAAAATCTCCAAAAACTAAATTTACTCGATTAAAACTAAAATTAAGCATAAATAAGCTATGTAAGCGGCCTTAACTATTCGTAAGTAAACGCGCTTGCTCGCTCGCTTTCATCGCTCTGGTTAAGACAAACAATCTAAAATTTCAAACCCGTTTTTCTCAACTTTGTCAAATTTTTCTCAAATTTTATAATATCGTTCGAATCACGACTTATAAAGCTTTAATATGATTTATCAATAAACTCTCTCCGAAGAATATTCGGGTTTGCTGATTTTGCGTGGAAAACAAAACAAAAGAAAACACACCCGAATACAAAGTTCCTCCCCATTTTTTAAATGGTCGGGAAAACAAACAAGTTTCAGGCGCGAAATGTCTTTTCCTGAGAAGACAATTCTAAAACTAGAACTGATGCAGGCGTCCATTGAAATGTCCAACAGGGGTTTGAAACAATCATCAATTTGGTGTGCTGAACAGGGAAACAGCATCGAAGCTGACCTAGACACAACACGCCTCTCAAATGGAAACTTCTACGCTCAAATGCAGTCGAGTAACGTCACTTCTTATATTTTTGCCAAGACTCTTTTCGACAATAAAGAATTCACCAGGGCTGCATTTCATTTAGAATCAGGGTCCAAAACTTGTTCTAAATGCAGTTTTCTGAAGCTTTTTTCTAGACTGCTAAGTATTGATACAAAGAAAATGGAGGACCAGTTAGAACCATGTAGTCCAATGTTTCTCAACAGCGAAACGGAGGAAGCACTCCATAGCTTACTCTCGGATCTGAGTTGCCTTGACAACTTGGATGGTTACCACTGTTACTTGATGGGTCTCGTTTTGAATAGACTTCAGAGGAATCGCGATGCTCTTAGTTACTTCTGCAGATCAGTGAACCAAGTACCAATGCTGTATGCATCATGGTGGGAAATGAAAAACCTGATTAAAAGAAAAGACGAGCTTAGCGAGCTGAAACTTCCATCTCACTGGATGCGAGAATGCTTTTCAGCTGAAGTCAACTCTAATTTCCAGATGAACGTTGAGGTAGTGGAAAAACTGATTCCAGTTCTAGACGCCGGATTTTCGAGAAGTCCTCACTTTTTTGCATGTTTGGCAAAAGCGCATCACAATTTGAGAGACTTTGACGCTTCAATTGAGTGTTTCGAAGACCTCCGAAGTCTAGATCCGTTTAGACTGGAAGGTCTGGATACTCTTTCAAATGATTATTACGTCAAAGGTAAAAAAGTAGAATTGAGTGCACTGGCTCATCAGATGATGGAGAGTGGAAAGTATAGACACGAAACTTGCTGCGTGGTGGCAAACTACTATAGTTTCAGACAAGAACACGAGAAGGCTGTAACCTACTTCCAAAGGCAAGGCTGCTTTTGTTTTTCTGAATGTTTTTCTGAATGTCATTGTGTCGAATATAAAGAAGGGAAATAAGAATCGCGCATTTCACCTATGATTTGCGCTATTTTCTCAAAGCATTATGAAAACATGATTTTTTTATGAGAGACTTTAATTACACTTTCGAGAGTTAGTGTCTTGTTTAAAGTCGATTTTGTTTGCATCGCCGCCATCCATGTGCTTTTTTCCTTCTCTAGAGCCCTGAAGTTGAACCCAAACTACATTGATGCTTGGACTCTTATGGGACACGAATTAATGGAAATGAAGAATACAAGTGGAGCAGTGCAGGCCTACAGGAGAGCAGTTGACATGGATCCAAATGACTTCCGAGCTTGGTATGGACTGGGTCAGACTTACGAGATCCTCCGCATGCCTTTACATTCGATCTCATATTTCCAGCAGGCGCATGTTTTGAGACCGAATGACTCACGGTTCCTGGTAGCTTTGGGTTCGTGCTACGAGAGCCTAGACAAAAATGCAGAGGCGGAAAAATGTTATTGGAAAGCGTATTCGGTGGGCGACTCAGAAGGAACTGCTTTGCTGAAGCTTGGGAAGATTTTTGAAAAGCAAGATAAAGATAAAGACAAGGAAGAAAAAGCAGCGGCTATATATCAGCGATACGTTGACGAGGCGAGCGTTGAAGGGAGCAGTGTAAATGATATGCAACAGCAGGCTTCAGTTTATCTTTATCTATCCAAGTATTATCTCAAGAAGTGCCATGAAGCGGATCCGGACCCTGGAGGAGACAGAAAATGTCTCCTGGAACAGGCCAATGATATGGCAACTAAAGCAGCTCAATTTAAATCTACGCGCGAGGAGGCAAGAGCACTTCAGAAAGAGATTGTAGAAAAAAGGAAGGATAGAGAATTTGGGGCGATGGGGCACATACAATCACAAGCCATGCACTCCTCCAATATCAATTTGAATCCCAGCACCCTGATAGATCTGGAACAAAATGATTCAGCTTGAAATTTAAACTGATGTTTACGGGAAATACTCTGACTCTGGTCAGTCCCTTGTTGTTTTTGAATTATAATTATTTGTCAATAGAATTCATTGTTTATTTTGAGCTGTAGATTTACCAGAAGTTCATAATCACGAGTTTTGCTGCTGGATAATTTGTCTATTTTGTTTTGCAAAATCATTGAAATCACTGAATCGCTTCCTTTTTATTCCGGCATGTTCTGTTTATGGTTGAGGTATGATATTTTCTCTGTTTTTGTTTACCCTCTTCCGAGAAGAAGTGTCTTCGAATCTGTGACCAGAGTATTTTCCTGTAAACAAGATTCGTTAAGCAATTATATTTTCCATTTTTTTTAGGATGTGCGGTTTGCCTCGCATAGTCTTGCCTTATGTGAACTAATTGATCAAAGAGTTCCGTAGCTGGCGTTACTTTTTCTGTGTTGTTTTTTGAGACGAGGAGGTTCGTTTTTTGTTCAGGTTTGGAACCGTGTTTACCCGCTTTTTTTCACGTTGAAAGCATTTTTTTTGAACTGTCACTTAAGTGAGCAGCAGAAATAGTCTGTGATTTTTTAGAAGCAAAATCAATAATAATACTGTAATTTTTTTGTCTGGTATCAAGTTTTAGCGTTCTGATCTTTTAAGTAACTTGACAATTGTTCTATAAATACCAAATAATATTTCGACCACAGCTATTATTGTTGCAAAAAGCAAAAAAAAACTCAAATTTCTCAAAAAAAATCTATTTTTCCAAAGTTTTTTTTTGCAATTTGAACCGCAGATAATAACAATATGCTTTAAAAGCGGGAATGTACAATTTTCTATGTGTATAGTTGCGAAAGCAAGTTTCTTGTAACTGGGAACTAGACTTTTTGGTGAACAACTTTCTTACAAATCTATGCTACTTGCATACCAGCAAGCTAATCTTGTTTTACGGTAAATTGCTTCTATGCTTAATGTGAAGCCAGTACATGTAGCGATTCCTTTGTGTCGACTGGCTATTGTGAAATAGAATTGATAATTTGTTACTTATGTTTCCTAATTTATTTATGGTCTGCTATTTCTCAAATGTATTTTCAGATATGGCGTATACAAATTCGGATACAGTATCAGTTTTAATCTTTTCCCTCTTCTTGGGAAATTTCTGCAGCTCGTCAGATGAACCCGTTTCTAGTGGGAAATCTTTGAGCATTAAACCATGCGACGATTTGCTGCCGGGGCAGTACCAGTGTCAAACTTTTCATCTTCCGCCGTCCAAATGTAACGAAACCTACAGTATATCATGTGTCTTAGCAGCGGGACTTTTATGTAGACTAAGTAACTCATCGAATACAGCTGAGAAATCCGCAGAAGACAATTCTATTTCAACCGATAAGACAAACGAAACTGAGTTGTCTCAAGGTTTAACGGTGTCTGCGTTTAACCAGACTCTTAATTGTCCGTACAATGAAACAAGTTATAGATACGACATCGCATTGCTGCTCTCGGTGCTGTGTGGTGTTGTAGGAGCAGATAGGTTCTACCTTGGGTACCCTGCTCTGGGTGTCCTCAAACTGTTCTCCTTTGGGGGTCTTCTAATCTGGTGGCTGGTGGATATTGTCCTTATAGCTCTCCAGATTCTCCGCCCAGTTGACAACTCGGATTACATTCTCTCGTCTTCGGCTCCGAGGATGGTAAAGTTGCAGTTTGATGCTGCGAGTGTAATCAAATTCACACACGAAGAGCTTTGAGATCTTGCAAGGATCTCATCTGGTTTCTATTGAAGACTCTCAAAAGTTGGGCTTTCTTCGAGAAAATCAATTTAGTCCAGACAGTTTAAGAGAGGCGCGGAAGTTGACTCGATATCGAACTCCAACATGTGATATGTAGTGTCTATAACTCCAACATGTGATATGTAGTGTCTATATCGATTGAAATTAGTTAATTAATAGAATTATTTTTCTACTTTCTGTTTATCTACTATCTGATCTCGTAGCTTTTTTCCCCGTGATAAGCAATTATATGTACCCTATTGCAAAATGAGGATAGTTAGAGGTGCACAAAACTCGCATATGCTTGAGCATTGATATAGTTTTTTTTTACAGGGGTGGCTATTCTATACAATAGTTGTTTGGTACCATAGGGGGACATACTATTGACTTAGTTCTTTTTAGGGTTGCTGATTCATTACTAGCTACCATGGAGGAGTGGGAATAGTTAAAGAGATCCGGATTTTTTCCATATGTGCTTATTAAGGCTTAGCTGGCCAAGCAATAATACAATAGGTTTTATGGTTTTATGAGTAAGCAAATCATCTGAAATAGACTGGGCGAAAAAATCAAAATTTATAATTTTGGTTTAATCATACGCAAAGAAAATACGACCAGAGAAATCTTTATCTGGGCGTTATTAAACTATCAAACTGCTTGCACTGGAAAAGTTAAAACTGCTAAGGCCTAAAAGACAAAAACCTACCACGACATTTGACGGATCAATGTAAGTTTCTATAGTTAGTAGTTAAGCCTCGACATTCGTTTAAGAGTCCATGAACGTTGTTCAGACTCCTATATAGGTCATGATGATTTTTTTTTCAGGAAAAGTCTTAAAATTTGTTCGCGCTCAAATTTGGCTTTTTGAGGTTTGACTTCTGAAGTAAAAAAAAGAGTCAAATGTTTTTGCGTTCCTTGACTCTTAATTGCGTTTTTTTTTGCTTTGTTCGTCAAAAAGCGTTTTATCCTATTCCTTATACGATTTCCATTTGGTGACTGGGTATTCTGCTATCACTCAGTAAGTAGCCATTCTTGACATTCCGTCTTTCTTCTTTGATAAAGTTTCTTATCTGTTCTCGGGAACTTCTTTGTGGTGTGTGTGTGTGCTCTGAGGGGAAAAAGGACTTAACTTTTTTTAAAGATAAGAATTTTTTGAGTTTTTGAAAGCCGAAAATACCTGAAAGCAGATATTTTCGGCTTTGTTACCGCTTGGTAATTATAAATTAAAATCCTATCAACCATTCGGCGCATCTAGCGTACAGGTAAAACAACAGCTTGAGAAGGCAAAGGCTTGCGGTTTGAATCCGGCTGGGTCCTTCATTCCAAGTTGGTGTAACCCCATGCTTGAGACGACAAAGCCCGATAGTTTGATTCCAGTTGAGACCTGTTTTTTTTGCAAAAAGAAAATTTTTCATCGTCTGTTGGCTTCTTTTTGTGTTTAGTTCGGCAGAAAGGATTTTTTTGAAACGTTGCCTTCTTTATAGCATTCCCAAAGGTCTTGGTAGCTCTTGGTAAACGATTTTTTGGAGTTTTCTTATTCATTTTTCCGTTAGATTTTAATCATAGTCATTCCTATTTGTATCACAAATGGGGCGAAGCTCAGCTTTGCCTCTGTGTCAATTTTTTGAAGATGGAGAGAGTTCATGTTGCGTTAATCAGAAAATATATTTTTTAGCTATCCTAGTTGTAAATTGTTCTAGCATGAACATTTTTGAATCTTAATAATTATTTCGCTCATAATTATTTCAAAATTGGGAAATTCGTATCAAGGTACACATTTGTATATGCTTAACCGTTGAGTTATTTCTTTATAGGGGTGGGACTTCGTTACCAGCCATTTCTGGTCTAAAGACAAGCATTTTTGGAATAAGTTTCTGCAGTTCAAGTCTCTATTGATGCGGTTTTAATATAATTTAGACTCGGTCGCCTGCTGCCTTTTTTGAAGTTCCTGAATGCCTGTGAAAATTTTTTCCTAGGGTAAAGTTCCTTTTCAATCGTGATAAACCAAACATAAAATGTTAGTCGTAGAAATAATCTCCATGAACGTAGTTAACCGGATAAAACAATTAAAATTGGAAACTTTAATTTAGATTTCATCAAATTCGGTTGACTTCAGACAAAAAAGTGACCTGCAACAAAATTGCTTAGATTTTCACCGGAATTAATATGATGCTATTTGTTTTGCGAAACTTCCGTCAGAAATTTAAGCTAGAACGGGTAATTTTTGGCTGCTTTTGGTTAATCGCGAAAACTACAGTATCAATTGCTGAGAAAAGTATATCGAAGTGGGTTTCTTTTGTCCCTAATGAAGTTTGAGGTTTTTATAATTTCCTAAGTTCTGTATAATTGAATTAATTTTTATTTGATAGCTAAAAACCAATTTTCTCATTTAAAAACAATTTTTAATCGCTTTTTTGCAAGTTCTTGCACTTTTTCCTAATAGTGATCAAGCTTGAAGTTTGTTGGGCTTTATAAGACGCTCATTTTCATTATGTTTTATTAGCAATTCACGCCTGAGTTTTTGCGTTGTTTTTGATAAACTTAATGTAGCAAATTATCGGTTTTTGAAGTCCTGAGTGTACTCTTGACCATAAATGGGCGTCACTGAGAGTTAGTTTCATCAAAAACACTATTCTTGAGGGGTAGCAAGTCGCTTAGCTAACCAACTTACGAATCGGAGCTTTTGAAGTAACTGGGTAAAAACCCTTTCTATTACACAATAGGATTCACAGTGCTGAAAGCATTGTGGCGGTTACCTTTCATGGCAACTTCAGAAAGGCCCATTTTCCACAAACAGCTTTCAACAATCATAAGGGGATCTCTTAGAAAGACTCCTAGTCTCCACTAACACAGAAGTTTGTTTGAACACTAGGCAAGCCCCATACAAAAATGTTAGGTGACCCCCAAAGTTTACGTTTGCGTAAGCAAGGGTTTCAAATGTTCGCACTTACGTCTTTAAGCAATGGGCAATGCGTCGTGTGAAATTGGCAGACAAGGCCTCGATCGAGCTTCTGGTGACGTATGGGCCAAATCAATTTTACATCGAGCTGGCAATATGAAGTACAATACCAGCCCTGCGCCCGACCAGCTCAGATCATAGCTCCTGGATATACCGTGGTAGATCCGATTCGCGCGGACATCACAGCAAAGGATTACACCACGCTTGGAGTTGGCACACTAACGTATTCCGGTTTCTTAACAGAGTTTACAGTAGAATTTCACACACTATTTTTGCGAAATATATTTTTCCCTATTGTTTCTGATGAAGTTCTAAAATATTATTGTTTGGATCATTTTTTGTCTAATAACAAGCCAATTTGAACGAACGGTTCAAATTTTCCAGTTTTTTCGTTTTGTTCGGCTAATTGAAAGAGGAACTATGATTGGAATGTTCAATACAAGAACTCAAAAATTCATGTGTTCAAGAAGTCCAAACACTTTTGAAAGGGAGTTTTCGGAAGGGTCATTGGACGAGAAAAACACGAAAAATATCCCACTCTAATTTGAGTGGAATCAAGCAAAACAAACAATCTTCGACTACTCACTCGGAGTCATTAACTTTTGTTAGCAAACACTTACTTCGGCAATCAACGAAACTGTCTCAGTATTATTGTTTCGACTTTCCAAGAAATTGCGGAATAATTATGCTTGATTTTTTTTATTCTGTGGAATTTCGCCGATCCAAATAATAGTTGTAAACAAAAAGGTATTGACTCAAATTTCAGAAAGAGAATTTAAGAAGATATTTTACCTCGAATTTTTTCATAATATTCTAAGCTTTGCCCTGATATATGAGCAGTCGTGTTGCTCTCAAAGCCGCTCTGCAATCTCAATGGGACATAAATATTAGCAACTCAGACAGAACTAAAATAATTACATACAGCACCAATTTTCTGTACTTTTGAATACTTGCTGTTTCGCTACTCTTGTTTTTCAGCACTGTTGAACCCCCATCGATTGGAAACGAAATTAAGTTTTATTTTTGTTTGCATGAACTTTGACTCGAAGATATGAATTGCTAGAAAATCTTATCACTCTGCGGTTGGTTATGTTTTCTTATCTCTAAACTACCAAGATTAAATTTAGAGGGTGGTTGTATTTAGGCGTTTGTGGCTCGATATTGATTTGATAAAACTCCTGACTTAATTGTAGATCGGTTATGGCGAATGCGCAAACGGGTGGGCGAGTAATAATTTGTTTTTATGTGAAAACTAAGCTTAGCGTGGACGATCTATAGCCGGCGTTAATAAAACCAGCAAACAGAATTTGATGAATCATCTAAAAAGTTTAAAAAGTGATATTGATCTGAATTGTTGAACTATCTTGATCCTGAATGAAAGTATTGTCCGGATCTGGAGTAAAGTGTTTCAGCAGTACGTTCTTTTTTGTGCCAAATTTTATGCGATAATTATGACGTAAAGCATTTGGAATTTGTGATTTTGAAGAGCTTCAAGATTGCTTTATTTATGAGCTAATCAATAAAATTTTTTTGAATATGATAATCTTTGAATATCTTATCATATTTAAGCACTTGAAGAATTTTTTTTAAAGGAGAAGTTTTTGAACGGTTTTTCATATAATTTAGCTCTGATGCGTAGATTTAACTTATTTTGCATATAAGCAAATTCTAACTCGCCTGTTCTCAGATGAACGGTACAGCCATCTAACTGCTCCCGAAAAAGGTGAGGGGATAGATTTCACGATCGGGTTTCCAGATGGTGACAAGATTCCAATTCAGCTCATGCGGGACGCCTATGTCCAGTTTTTCGAGGAAAAGAAACACCGGTCAGACTTCTTCCAGTACGGGGTGCACTCGGGCTATCCGAAGATAAGATCTCTTGTCGCCGAGTTTCTGAACAGATGTTACCAATTAGCAGCAAAAGATGGGCCGAAAAAAGAGATTGAGAAGGAAAACATAGTTATTTGGTGAGCAGCATAAACCATAATATATAATATCATTGAACAATTGAAAACGTTATCTATAATGCTTAAAGCGTAACACGAATTATTATGTTGCACTCAAAGTTGTTATGATTTGAAATCAGGCTAGCTAATCGGTCATAATATTTTTTAAACTAGTTTAATTTTAACTTTCAATATTTGATATTGAAGTTCATAGTTGATCAAAAGTTTCTCTGCCAAAAAACAATGTCGACGACTTAACGGGCATTCGAACAATCAGGGCTTTCCATGATACAACAGCAGTCTTGTTTCTTAAATATCAGCTTTTAAACCCGATCCTCTGATAAAACGAATTCTTTACAAACTACCGCTAACTTCAACCAATTTAAAATCATCGTTTGACAATTTTACAATTTTATGACTTTTTCTCTTCTATCGAGTATTTTTCGATTAGTGTTTCTCATTAACGTCTGACGAATAATGTTCAATTTTTAAAAAATGACAAATTAAAAAAAAAAATTTTTTTTTGAAAATCACCACTCCGTGTACATAGTGCTTTATTTACTGCAAGAAAAAACACCCGAGCATAAATATTCCGTCACTTTCCTAATCAATTTGTATCATCGGGTTGCCTTGAGGAAATGGCCTATTTTCATTAATAATGCAAATATGATCACGAATACTAAAGAAAAGATGAAAGGCACAATGCGTGCCGTGCTTACTCAGGGACTTCAGTATAGATAATCTATTATATATTTAATTGCAGGCTTCACTATCTCGCCATGTTGAAGCTTTTTCAACGTATTATTTTTGCATGTTTAACCTATATCGTATATTGCAATGGTTAAGAATTTTTTTTCGATTTTCCAATTTGATTTTAGTGGTTATTTTACAAAGTTTAAATTAAGCAGCTCAATATCGAATTAGGGGTTGCGAATTTGGCCTCCAATTTTGAATGCCCGAATCATTTTAATTAACGAGATAAGAAGATTTTTGAGATTTTTACAAAACTTGAAGTTCGCAACACTGTAGTTGGGGGGTAGTGTCAGAGTACTATCAAGGATTACGAGTCTTGCCTCCAAATATGACTGCTCAAATCCTTGTAATTTTTGAGATATGATGTTTTTTGTGATTTTTTCAAAAATTTTCAATTAATTATTTCTCAAAAGTTGAATTTCTTAACCTGGTAGTTGGGTGCTGTCAGAGTACTCTCAGGAGTTACAAATCTTGCCTCCAAATATGACTGTTCCAATCCTTGCGGTTTCCGAGATATGACGTTTTTTTGTGATTTTTTCAAAAATTTTCAGAAAACTTAAATAATTATTATTAGTTTTAAAAATCTGAAATTCCCAACCCTGTAATTAAGTCCTGTCAGAGTACTCTCGAAGATTGCGAATCTTGCCTCCAAATACGACTGCTCAACTCTTTGTAGTTTTCGAGATGTGACGTTTTTTTTTCTTCAAAATTTTCAGAAAGTTCAATTTAATTATTTTTCAAAATTTGAAATTCCCAACGCTATTCGGTGTTGTCGGTTTACTCGAAATATTTGCAAGTTTTGCCACGTGCGACTGCTAAACGCGAGTGCTCGAATGCTTTTAGTTTCCGAGATGTGACGTTTTTTGATTTTTTCAAAATTTCTCAAAGAATTTATCTACAAGAAGTTCAAAAAATTTTAAACTACCAACTCGATGAAGATACAACTTTTTTGTCAGCGTACACCCTGGCGTTTCAAATCTTGCCTCCTAATATGAATGCTCAAATCTTTTTAGTTTCCGAGATAAACCGTTTTTTTTTCAATTTTTTTCGGGAAACTTTGCTTTAAAAAAGTTCACAAATTTTTGAATTCCTAACCCTATAGTAGGGTGCTTTCAGGGACTCTCAGTGGTTGCAAATCTGGCCTCCAAATTTCTCCAGAGATATTTTCGAGATGACGCTTTCAAAATGAGAATTTAAAAAAATTAAAAAGTTCGAAATTACCAACCCTGTAATTGGGTGCAGTCAGAGTACAATAAAAGTTTGCAGATGTTGCTTCCAAAATATGAGGTTTTTCATGAGTTGTCGAAAATTTTCGAAACACCGGAGGTGCGTTGAAGGCTAATTGTTTTCAAAAAAATTGATACGAGAGAAACAAGGGTAACCGTCTGGTCCGTAACAAGCCCAGCATGTTCCAATCAGATATGCAGCTTAAAGAAATAAAAAAGAACTCAAACACCATTCTCTTTGATCAACCTAGCAAGAAATTGGCCAAGACTCATAAGCAAAAATATCACCATCTCGCTTAGATGAGTTTCAGTATGATACCAATTCTGACATTTTTTGTTTAAATGAAGGCAAACTCACTATCGAATAGCAATAGGGGTAAAAGTCACGAATAGCGTAAATGGCTTCTTTCGTAAATGGACTTTCTTTTTCTGCATTCGCAGCGGATCAAAAAAAATCGCAGCGGATCTGAGTAGGCACAATGCGTACTGTGCCTACTCAGGGTCGTCAGTATTGATAATTATTTTTGAAGAAGTTCAGAAGAGAGAAACAAGGGTAACCGTCTGCTCCGTAACAAGCCCAGCATTATCCAGTCAGATATGCAGCGTAAAGAAACAAAAAAGAACTCAAACACCATTCTCTTTGATCAAACTAGCAAGAAATTGGTCAAGATTCATAAGCACAAATATCACCATCTCGTTTAGATGAGTTTCAGTATGATACCAAACTTGACATTTTTTGTTTAAATGAAGGTAAACTCACTATCGAACAGCAATAGGGGTAAAAGTCACGAATAGCGTAAATGGCTTCTTTCGAAAATGGACTTTCATTTTCTGCATTCGCAGCGGATCAAAAAATTACTTTTTGATCCAGTTTTCTCTAAAGGGGATAACTTGAAAGTATAAAGTGCATATCATCAACAATTCTTGAAACTCAAAAAGCCTTAACGTGATAGACTTTTTTTTTCTTAGACATTTTTTTGATTTCCTTGTTCTTATACTTTTTTCTAACTGCTTGTTGGCTATATTTTACTTTTAGGCTCGTATTGGAGAAGAAAAAAAGGAATAGACTTCGGAGAAAATGTTCAAAGTTATTTTGCATCGATTTTTGAGATAAAGCTGAAAAGTTTTCGCCGTTTTTTAGAAAACAGAAAAGCTTTGAAAAGTCTTTTTTGCTACCCAAATTTATTTTTCCGTTTCCTAGCTATAATACGAGTTCACGATTTTTTAAACCAAACTCGTGTAAATGTGTGCTCAATTTCATTTGCGAGCGATGTAGTAGCATGTGTTTTATCCGCTTAATGAGAGCGTCTGATAGATAGTGAGTAAACTCTTGACAACAGCTAGGACATTTGTTTCAGATATGAAGAGGAATGCTTCATATTCTATACGCTGTTCGAATCCTTAAGCTGATTCTTTACTTTTTTCAAGACTTAACATATCTTTTTGCACTTTTAACATATTTTACTTACAATTTCAGTTTTTAAGTTGAGATTTGTTTTTCTTCTGATGGAAAATCTGAAGTTTTAGTGGCGGCGTTTCGTTCGGTTTGGATAGAATTCTGACAGTTCTCGGAGTGGACAAGAATGCAATAGTGTATTGTGAGGAACTGACTTTCTTCTGCTTTCTCAACATGCTCAGGGAGAGAGGATGTGAAGTGAGAATGATACCATTCACAAAAGAGGGAGTAATGGACTTGGATTGGCTGGAGACGGATTTGACAAGTATTGATGGAGATGCGGCCAAGCCAATTTTAGGTATGACTTGGAAGCTGTATTCTACCTTACAAATCACGACTTTCTCAAATTTTTTGTTTTTGTTGTTGCTTTTTTCGTGTTATCTATCTATTACATATTTAAATGCGGGCTTCACTATCTCGCCATGTTTTAGCTTTTTCAACGTATTATTTTTGCATGTTTAAGCTATATCGTATATTGCAATGCTTAAGATTTTTTTTCGATTTTCCTATTTGATTTTAGTGGTTATTTTACCGAGTTTAAATTAAGCAGCCCAATATCGAATAATGGGTTGCGAATTTGGCCTCCGATATTGAATGCCCGAATCATTTTAGTGAACGAGATAAGACGATTTTTGAGATTTTTTCAAAAATTTTCAGAAATTTCAAATAACAAATTTTTTTTATAAAACTTGAAGTTCCCAACCCTGTAGTTGGGTGCTGTCAGTGTACTCTAAGTAGTTACAAATCTTGCCTCCAAACATGACTGTTCAAATCCTTGTAGTTTTCGAGATATGACGTTTTTTGTGATTTTTTCAAAAAATTTTCAGAAAACTTATATTAATTTTTTTCGCAAAATCTGAAATTCCCAACCCTGTAGTTGGGTCCTGTCAGAGTAATCTCAAAGATTGAGAATCTTGCCTCCAAATTTGACTGCTCAATTCTTTGTAGTTTTCGAGTGACGTTTTTTGTGTTTTTTTTTTTCAAAGTTTTCAGAAAACTTAAAGGCTTATTATTTCAAAATCTGAAATTCTCAACCCTGTACTTGGGTACTGTCAGAGTACTATCAAGGATCGCGAATCTTGCCTCCAAATATGACTGCTCAAATCTTTGTTGTTTTCGAGGTTTGATGTTTTTTGTGATTTCTTCAAAAATTTTCAGAAAATTTTAATTATTTCTCAAAGTTTGAAATTACCAACCTTGTAGTCGGGTGGTTTCAGAGTACTCTAAGGATTTACAAATCTTGCCTCCAAATATGACTGTTCAAATTCTTGTAGTTTTCGAGATATGAAGTTTTTTGTGATTTTTTCAAAAAAATTTCAGAAAACTTGTATTAATTTTTTTTCGCAAAACCTGAAATTCCCAACCCAGTAGTTGGGTCCTGTCAGAGTAATCTCAAAGATTGCGAATCTCGCCTCCAAATATGACTGCTCAATTCTTTGTAGTTTTTGTGATATGACGTTTTTGTCATTTTTTCAAAAAATTTCAGAAAAGTTGTATTAATTTTTTTTCGCAAAAGCTGAAATTCCCAACCCTGTAGTTGGGTCCTGTCAGAGTAATCTCAAAGATTGCGAATCTCGCCTCCAAATATGACTGCTCAACTCCTTGTAGTTTTCGAGATATGACTTTTTTTTTTGATTTTTTCAAAAATTTTAAGAAAAGTTAGGTTCTGTCAGAGTACTCTCAAGGATTGCGAATCTTGCCTCCAAATATGACTGCTCAATTCTTTGTAGTTTTCGAGAACTGACGTTTTTTGTGTTTTTTTTTCAAAATTTTCAGAAAGTTTAAATTAATTATTTTTCAAAAGTTGAAAGTCCCAACGTTATATTTCGTTGTTGTCAGGGTACTCTAAAGAGTTGCAAATCTTACCACATGCGACTGCTAAACGCGACTGATCAAATGATTTTAGTTTCCGAGATGTGACGTTTTTTGATTTTCTCAAAATTTCTCAAGGAAATTCAAAAAATTTCAAACTACTGAATTGATGAAGATACAACCTTATTGTCAGCGTACACACAGGCGTCTCAAATCTTGCCTCTTAATATGAATGCTCAAATCCTTTTAGTTTCCGAGATAACACGTTTTTTTCAATTTTTTTTTTTCGGGAAACTTAGGTTTAAAAAAATTCACAAAATTTTGGATTCCTAACTCTATTGTAGGGTGCTCTCAAGGACTCTCAGTGGTTGCTAATTTGACCTCCAAATTTCTCCAGAGGCCCATTAAGTTTTCGAGATGACGCTTTTAAAATGGGAATAACAAAAAATTTCAAAGTTCGAAATGACCAACCCTGTAATTGGGTGTAGTCAGAGTGCACTAAAAGTTTGCAGATTTTGTTTCCAATATATGCGGTTTTTCATGAGTTGTCGAAAAATTTCGAAGCACCGAAGGTGCGTTAAACGCTAGTAATGACTGAATGGTGTTGCAACGCAAAATATGGGGACAAAATTTGTTTACAGTGGCTTGTTGATTGGCCATGAAAGTTTTCATTGCATTATGACAGACAGTGCAAATAAAGTTTTTCAAACTCAAATGTGGGGAAAAGTGGAAAAGCGCCCAATTTACATCATCCTCCAATTATACTTTGAACCAGTCTATCAACGCTTGTGCTTTGTCACAGTATGCGTGCGCAGGTATTTTTGATGGGGGTTGTTTTTTTTAGAACAGCCATTATGAGTTTTTTGAGCTCAACCGAAACCCGAGAACTTATCAAAATAAAATGCTGTTTCGAAAGAATTTTTGGAAGTTTTTGGCCAAAGAATGGCGTTTTTGTCACCCCTTCCCACTCAAATTTAGTCTCCTCTGAAATTGCTTTCGTTTTTTTTTTAAATGCTTGGCGGATACCAGACCACCGGGTGAGAATATTAAAAGCCAGACGAAATTAGTCGATTGAAGTTTTGGGACGAAATCTGTCGTGTGACGAAATCTGTGTAAACCTACCCTACCATATCCATTCTTAGCCGGCCATCTATAAATAAACGATAATATATCAATTTTGAAAAGAGAACGCACGCAAAAAAACTACAATTCTTTTGGTTAAACTCCACTAAAAAGCGTTGGAAAACGGCGTTTTGGCTTGTTTTTTTCTTCAAAATTTCTCCTGTTATGCAAAAATTTTTGGCAATATTTTTTCAATCTAGAGGATAAAGTTAGTCACATTTTTAAATATCGACTAGGCCCATATTGAAAAAAAAAAATTAAATCCGGCCCTGCGCCATTATATAATTCATCAATTATGACAAAAAGTTTCAAATATAACGATCAAAAGTTTTACTAACGTTTTGCGATGGAATTTCTAAAATGGAAGTTTTAAGTCGAGTCATTTGTAGCAGATCTTTGTTGATAACAGTCTATCATTAGACGTGAAGTATTCTCATTGCAGTGTTTACCATGCCTACATTCCATAACCCAACGGGAGTCATTATGCCACTTGAGACCCGGAAGCAACTGGTTCATCTAGCGCACCAGTTCGGTTTCTACATCGTATCCGACGAGGTCTACAGCACACTCCCCTTCTCACAGGTACGAGTACGACTGATGGTGCTAAATTGTGATCTTAAATAAACCGTCTGAAGTACAAAACAGCTATCAAGTAAAGTAAACAAGCGAAAAATACTGAGCAATTAGAGTACAAAATTCAAAACTATTGCTATAACATAACTTTCGACTGGTTTGTAAAACCTGCTCACTTTCGGCTCGCTTGAAATTTTTCTGATTTGTCCACTCGACTTAAATGTGGTCCATAGAATTCTGAGTCGCGGGCATTTGCATCTTGGATAAAATATGATTATTGTTTTGTCTCTCAGACTGTTTTGACATGAAACAATTGTCTGGGACACTAAATTACATCAAAATGGTATCATTTCACAGATTCGAAACTGTATTCCTCCCTCGCTTGCTCTGCTAGACGACAACGCGAATGGCAGAGTCATGTCTCTTGGGTCTTTCTCAAAGGTCCTCTGCCCTGCTTTGAGGTTCGGATGGATACACGCTTCGGTTAGTTAAACTGTGCTTCGAATTTGGTTTTGTCTGGCATAAGTGAAATCATATGCCAGACGCCCAATTTTCTCTCTCTTTGAGTTAAGGGAAAAAACAAAACTTCTAAGTTCAAATTATTTCGAAAGAGCAAAATCTAACCGCTAATTTAAGCAATGCAGATAATTACACTTGCGAGACTAGTGCCTTGTAATCGGGAACTATATTGTTTTCCCGTAAACAACTTTTCTTTCAAATCTGTGAGAAATTGTGAAGTTGCTTCAGTGAACGTAACCAATTTCGTGACCCTTCCCCACTTGGCCTAGAGATAACGCGGTTGCCTTTGTACCCTATGATCTGGGGTTCGAGTTCCGGCCGGACATTTTTAGCATGAATGAAATAAAAATTATTTTGTCCGGAAAAAGTTTTTTCGGTTTAGTTATTAGCAACTTGTTAGCAACTTTCATCGTAGGTGGAAGTGCTTTTGCTGTGCTCCTGTAATTTATCAAATTAATAGCCCTGAAGTATATTTTTCTTGGTTTTTTCCTTTTTTTCGTTTAGTTTATTTTCCGGTTTTCGCTCGGTAAGCACAAAAAAATATCATTTAACGCTGGTGGTTGTGTTTTTTACTGTTTTTCTGAAATGATTTCCATTTTAACCCCATTTTTTCTATCTTTTTCTTTCTGCTATTCTATTTTCTACTAGTTAGCAATGCTGCGCTTGCATTGTATCACAAGTCGTTTTTCTGCTTTTCTGATGAAATAGTATATCAGAAAGAAAATATTTAAAAACGAAACGAAAACTTTATCAATTTTGGAGCCGAAAGGACAATTTTTTTATCAAATCTTTTAAATAAAGGAACGAGTATTACAAATCCAGTGGCAGTCTTCTAAACCCTACCTGAAATTTTATATTGTCAAAGCTGGTGATTATCCAGTTTATGATACCGTGTTTCATATTAGAGATGTACTCAACTTACCAGTTGAACCACGAGGTATTGCGGCATATTGTTACTTTCATTCGTTGTCATTAAACAAACTATTGTCATTTTTTAAATTAACTACGCGTCATCGTATAGAAAAATTGATAGGTTCTTCTATCATTTCAGCCAGTTCGTGCGGCTCAGCTTTTCACGGCATTTGATAAAGAGGTGCTGATCTAATTTCAAACAAAACACTATTTAATTTGCGACTATAATCTTTCGTCGTTTCTTGTCAGTGATGTCCATCTAAGTAAAAAATCAAACTAATTCTTGGAACAATTTTTGTTCGATAATAATTTAGTGAAATTATTTCGCAATTTTGATCAAGTCTGAGAAGTCTACTAACAATCTCCCCCTATGGTATCTACTAAAGGTTCTCCGCCCCTATAAGTAAATACAATAATTTAGCTGATTGATCGAAAATTCGGCTAACTCAATGTACTTAACATTCTCGCCCCTTTCTTGAAGGGGGAGACTGTTAAGTTTATCTAATTTTAGCAATGCTTAAAATACCGCATAGATTGCTCGTGCAAATGAGCAAACTTGGTTTTTACGAAAATTTTGTGATAAAATATAGCAATGAAGATTGATCTGATATTTTTGAAAACGGTATGATTACAATATAAAAAAAGTTGAAGTCTGATGCTGTTTAGTCAATGTTGTGTGGGAAGTTGGGATCTGCAGGCGTTGTGGTTAGCGGGTCCCCTGCCTGTCATTTAGCATGTGGTCCTATGGAGATACTCTTCAGAGATCATACAATCGGTGAGACCACTTTTACAGATTACTTATTAGGAACAAATTGGCAACCTGAACTCTTAGCCATTTAGGCAAGTAGTAGTTCTCTTATGGATCTGATATCATTTGTTTTCAGTCTTTCATCGTTAGTTATTTTTCCCGAAAATATGTAACGCGGAGTGGCTTTGTTTTGGTTTTTTTCTACTTTGATTTAAACGGATCTTTCTTCAGATCATAACTCGTTCATGAAAGCATGCAGAGGAGTTTAGTGATGTTTAGTTTTTCGTTGAGTTTAAGTCTATTGAAAATGAGGATTTTTAGGTTACAGTTTCATCAACAAACTCACGGAGAGTCGTATTATTCCGAATAATTTACGAAGTGAGAAGAAACTATGGCGCACGGTGAACTTTTTTCACTCTATTTTAATTAGCTCGCGTCCAGACAATTCGGTCAATTGTGGTAATTAAACTAGGGCGGAAAAAGTTCACAGTGAGCCATAGTTTCTTCTAACTTCGTAAATTGGGTTTGTTTCACAGCTTCAACTGCGGCGACGAATCTGATTGGTTGAAATAACGCGTCATTGATTTGCTAAACAGCTTCAGCGAGATAAAATTTGAATTGTTTGCTTTGTTGCCTTAAAGCAACAGTGGGTAATTTAGGGTTAACAATTTGTTTTAGACAAAGTTGCTGTGCAAGCTGCAAATGTGTTGGAGCGGAAGTTCTCTGCTCTCTGGAAAGCCCTACAGCAACACCTGCCGAAAGATTGCAGTCTAAATCCCTTCGACAGAAGAGGTCACTACGCTCATTTTCATTCTAAAACCGAACCTTTTGTTTTATTACACCAGCAACGCTCGTGTTATGGAAATATGCCAATTATGGTATGCTCCAGACATATACTGCTTAATTTTTGCCTATAAGTTTATATATTTTTTGCTTCTCCATATCATGCAAAAGTTAAGTTGGTCGGGGAATTGTACGGTTTGGTTTGTTCTAGATTCCTTTCATCAGTAGAGATTTAAAAATGTGAATGGAATAATTAAGAAGACAAAATGTTCCAAGGGAAGTGCTCCTTTTGTACAGGTCGCCTATGGGTTGTAAGTGAAAATGAGCCAAGGTCACAACATGGCGCCTCAGGGTGGTTACTTTATGATCATACAAACACCTCTGGAGATGTCTGCATTTAAGCTGTCTCAGTTTTGTAACGAGAAGTTCAATTTGAAAGTGATGCCAGCATCGATGTGTGGAGATAGTCGCGATGATAGATTGAGGTTATGTTTTGCTTACCACAAAGAAGAAGAGCTGATTGAAGGAGCAAGGAGACTTGGAGAGGCAATACGAACTTTGAAATAGTTGTTATTTATTCTTTCAAATGTCTACTGTGCTGTACTCTTTCGCTGCCAAAGAAAATGGTGTGAAATGGATTAGTAAAATAGATCACAGGTTGTAAAATAGATGATTAGCCGTTTATGATATTTTTGTCAACTTCTTGAAAATCAGAGTTTAAAGCATGCGTTAGGTTTGATTTGGTGTATACCTGGTTGATTGGGCAGGTCAATTTCGCTCGAGTAAATAGATAAATGGGTTTCTGATGTAATTTTCAGCCATTTTTTGAATAAAACAAACAATAGGCAATCTCTTGTCCATGCTGCAGTATTGCCTTGGATTTTTGATTGTTTTACTAGCGTTATCTAAAAAGCTTCTGGTTGAAAATCTGGTTTCTTAGACAAAATTTTGAGATCAAAACCAAGTCTCGCTGTTTTTTGATAAATTGTTCGATGCACATAGTTGAGACACTAATGTAGGTCGTGGTGATTTTTTATTAGGAAAAATTCATAAAATTTATATTTTTCAAATTCGATTTTTTGCGCTTTGACTTATTTTTTTTTAAAATTGAGTTAATTTTCGATGTAAAAAAGAGGGCAAGTTCTATTTAACAGCCAAAGTGTAAAAGTCACGCAAAACGTGCTTGACTTCTGGTTTCAAAATTGAATTTCAATTTTCAGATTTCGCAGCGCAATAAATTCTTACCTATTTAATTCACTGGGTTATTTTCACCACTTGGTTGATTTATAACAAAAATCAATCATAGATTGCTTGGAAATTTATAGCGCTTTGTCCATATATTTTCTTCTTTGAAATTCGAAAGTTGTTATTTTTTTCTAAAAAGTGTTTTCTGTTTCTTTGCATTCATTGAATCTTTTTAAATCGTCGGTTGGCTATGCTTAGATATCACAGCAGAGTACAGAAAAATAAGCACTTGATCCTGTTTTTTCAAATTGGGTTTTTTAAATCAAAATAATTTTTATACATCACAAGAATTTTGGGCTCAAAAATGTTTTTTTTTTCGAAAATCAAGAATCTTACCTGGCTCCCATTTAGGTTTCTGTTAACATAAAAATAGTTGAAAAGAAAAGAAAGATAAGATTTTATTTCTTGTTTAAAAAACATTGATGAACACTCAGTCATTTTGTAAACGAGCCTGGCAAGTTTTTGATTTTTTTGAAAAGTTATGTTCAAGAATGACTATCTGAGGTTATTAGCTTTCTTATGACAACTTATAAGAAAAAGTCAAAAAAGGGCCAAAAAGACTAACTGTTTATGTTGTTTACAGAATTACTCAAATAAACTCTATCAAGTTGCTAGAAGGAATACGGCAAAAAGATGTGAAAAGTTTTGAACCTCAAATTGTTGCAAAAAAATCGAAACGAGAGAATGTGTTTTTTTTTGTTTTCATCGGTTGAAATCTAAAATTTTACAATTGCTGTATCATGTTATTGTAAGTTTGCAGGAACTTATATCAAATTACATTTTTGTATTTTTTTTCAATCCACAGAGTTTCCTTTCAACACAGTTAGTAAAAGTGAACCAAATTATTGAATGATTATGAAGTATTGATGATTCGGATAACTGTGTCGACTAATCTATACGAAAGAAGAAGTCATTTTACAATAATGATCAAAAAAATTTTTTTCGCGTAATGCATGAAGATCCGATTTAAATTATCCGCTTAAACGAACAAAAAGCGAACATAAGATGTGTCGAGTTAAGACAAAAAGCGAAGAAAACAAAAATTGCTTAGAAAAAGTCAGAATAATTAATGCGATGGTTTTGTTTGACTTCTTCTATTTGGTCGCATAACATTTTCCCATTATAATTTTTGTCAATACTGAAGTCTGAACAATTAGCAATGCTTATTTTTCATCTCAGTTGAATTTTCAATCTTTAAGTTTTTTTCAGAAATCAGCTGGCGCCTTTCGTAATTGAAATAAAATTGGTGTTCTGAATTCAATTTATTGTTAAAATGTTTTCCCATACCATACACCAAGATGATCGGAAACACTAGTTTGAATGACTTTAACTGCACAATCAAAATTAGCTAAAAATAAATCAGTTTTGCTCTTTTCGTTTCTATATACTTTTGTACAAGCAGTTTAAATTTAATAAAGATTAATGTTGAGAAGTTCTACTGTCTGTTGGCTATGTTTACGTTTTCCAGGAGTAAAAAGATTACTAATTGATCCGGTTTTTTCAAACTGGGTTATTTCAACCGAAATAAGTGAAAACAACTCAAGACAATAATTTTGAAATCAAAAAGGTTCTTTCGGAAGCCAAGAATCTTAGCTAGGCCCTCTTATAAGTTTTTGTTAACATTAAAATTTGAAAAAATTACTCAGACAAAAATAACTTAGACTTTGTTCTTTTATTTAAAATATTCCTGAATACTTTGTCATTTTCTGTAAAAGAGCTTAACAAGTTTTCATTTTTATTGAGTCATTTTCAAGAAAATATGGGTGATTTAGGTTTCCAATAACATTTTATAGGACCCAAAAGTCAAACTGTTTATATTGCTTACAGAAGTAGTCATAAACTCTCAAATACACTTCCTTATACACCGAAACATGGTTATCAAGTTACTACAGAAAGAACGACAAGAAGACGTGAAAACATTTTTGGAATGAAAATTTGTTACACGGTAGACAAAAATTCCACCTTTTAGTTTTTTCGATGGTTGAAAAATAAAATTTGCGATGGCTGTATTACGTCATTGTTAATTGGCAGGAGCTTGTCTCAATTTAATTTTTGTTAGTTACTTCGCCAAACTCATTTTTTTGGAAGAAAATACCTGAGAAGGTACCAAACTGTTGAATCAGTGCGAAGTTTAGATGATTCAGATGAGTTGGTTAACTAATCTGTACAAAGAATCGAAATTTTTTTTGTTCGCATAGTTCATGCAATTCTGATTCAAATCATCTGGACAACCGAACAAACTTCGATTTTTCAAACTTAACAAAATAATAAACCTGAAATATGTCGAGATCGGACATAAAGCGAAGAGAACAAAAATTTCTTCGGTTTCACCAAAAGGATTTTGGAGATAAACTTGTTTGACTTGTTCATTCTTGCCTCATAATGTTCTGAAAACTTAATTTTCATCACTATTCAAGCCTAAATAATTAGCAGTGCTTGTTTTTTTATCATCAATTAAGTTTTCAATTTTTTTGTGCCTTGCAATTAACAGCTTGTGCATTTCGTATTGGAAATTGAACCGATTTTCTGAATATTCGAAAATCCTCCAAACTCTTTCTGATCAATGCTGTTTTTCTCTTCTTTTATTTGTTCAATGTATTTTCTCTTCTCGAACACCTTGATGATCAGCAACTCTACTTTAAATAACCTCAACTGCACAATCAAAATCAGCTAAATAACATAAATCAATTGGGTTCTTTGTGCTTTTGTATTTTTTTTGTTAAAGCTGTCGAAATTGATAAGAGATTTAAAATCAGCTGTTCTGACAGCTCAACCAGTTCTTTTCCTTGCGCTGTGTTAGCGCTGAAATCCACATAGAAAGTGCTTTTCTGAATTCGCTGCCTTAATATCAAATAAATTGGTCATTGTGGTGTCACTGAATCCTCAAGCGTTGTTTCTGGCGACTTGCAGCTGACTGTTTTCAGACATATTAATTGTGATGCTAGTATTTGGATTTCGGCAGTTGAAGTTTTCTTTTTCTACTAATATTTTTTTTCATTTTCACACTGAGTTGCTACACCATCTCTTTCTTTACTTTTGTTGTAGTTTGCTATGTTTTCATAATTATTCTGACTGAAAGCAGTACTAGCCACTCAACCAAGTTTTCATTAAAACAAATTTTGAAAGTTTTTGTTTCAAAACTTTCATAATAAAGTCATTTTCTGAACTACGGGCAACTGTATTCCTCTTTCTACACGAAGACAACTACTCCGCAACACGAGCAACTGTTTCCTCCTCTCGCTTCACGCAGCCTTTGCTTAAAAAAGAATCTACTCCAAAGAATCAAGAAAACTCTCCATCCATCTTTCACAAGAACAAACTTAAAAACGTTCTAAACCCCAGATGGGGAACCAGTTTGAAACTAGTATTTATATCCAAATATAATTTTGATCAAGTATCTCTGTAAAAAACTTTGAACTAACCAATCTTGATCCATAACTAACACTTACAATAAATATTAAGGGTGAAAGTATTCATAATTTCATTCAGAACAGAATAAATTTACCTCAGCAAACAGTTGCTCTTCTTCAGAGCAGTTTTTGATTCCGAACCTTGCAAATACCAGTATACACTAGATCTATTGATACTAGGAGATATAAGAGTAAGATTAGAATTGGTATTAGACTAAGAAGTTGCGCGATTATATCCGGCCGAAAATAAGATAGCGTGACGAACAGACGGTGTACCTTAACCGAAGTTACTCTATGAGTGAGCCACCCAGGACATAAACTCAGTGTGAAAAAAAATCGAACAAAATTGACTTGTCAGAATTTCGCTGGCCTGTCCAATTTTGTTTGCTACAGATTTTGCTTGTGCGGTTAGCAATTTTTTTTGTAGTTGCAAGTGTCAGTGTTGTTAGTTCTAATTTCATGGGAGACTGGGATGTTAATTTTTATTTTAAAAAGAAAACAGATTTTGTTTGGCACAATTTATCTCTGCTCGAAGTTTATGTGGTTCATTTCTCATATTTTTTGTTGTGTTGTATCGCATTTGATGCGAAGATCCGCTTAGCCTCTATACAAAAACCATCATTTTCTGGTTGTGCTTCTTTTTCTGCGGCAAAAAAATTGCAATGCGGTTTTGAGCTTTGAAAGCAAAAAAGTAAAAGGGAAGGAAACCTGACTCCTCATAACAGTTTCTGGTTGTATTATAGCTGGTAACAAAAATTTTAAGTTTTAATATGAAAAGTTCTCAAAATTGTTTCATACAGCAGTCAGTCTGAATGATAACTTGTAAACATAAACTTAACAGTTTTTAATCCATTCTTTTAATTTTCTTCTAAATGTAATTAGAAATCATCCAATCAATAGAGTTTTTGACTTGTAACAGAATGAAACAAGTTTACTTTTCAGACATCAATTTCATTTGATAACTTGTTCAATGATCAAGGAAAAAATTATATTTACCCATATGTGTTCATTTGTTTTTGTTTTGATCAC